CAGAGGAGGGAGACACGAAAGGTAGGACAGCGGGAAGAGAAGAGAACGCGAGAGGCAGGAACAAAAATGCAATGTTCGACATGGTGATTTATCCCCTCGGAGGCGACCTTTCGGGTGGGGGGGTGGGGGGGGGTCTGAATTGAGCGATCAATTATTAGACCCGGACGTCCCAACACTTGCTTCGCAAGACAAACTCAAGGTATCACCTAAAGGGCTACCTTTCGTGAAAAGGCCTTTGGGCACTTTATCGTGCCTTGCCACAGACACATCCACGGCAAAGAGAGTGAATATGAAATTCTAATCACGAAAGGTGTTCCCCGAGGGGATACATACCTAGAGTTTGTTTTGTGAAGCACGTCCATTCTGAGCCTTTTATGGTTTCAGGATAGTTCAAATCCTATGATGTTCCGATTCAATGCTCACCGATGATCTGAGCCATGGGGCAAGTTTGTTTTCCCATGTTTTCCTTAAAAAAAAGGACCTTGAACATTTCGAGAGCATATGTTTGAACATTTAGAGTGCCACCTTCAGGCCCCGCTCCATGCTGATGAGCTTTGCTGGATGGCCATTGCCAAGGAGGGACAAGGCAATGTGCTGAGCCCGTGAGCTTGCGTTGGAGGTGGATGTTCTCGTGGCCACTTTGTTTCGCTGCGCTGCACAAGCTTGTTCAACGTGCGTGCGTAGGCATTCACGGCGCCAGCCGTTTTGTTTCGGTCATGGCGGGAACCCAGCAGCCCTATGTTCTCTAGGAACTCGTAGCACTCGTCTAGGTTGAAAGCTTGCCCGTACCACACTGTAGAAGAACTCCGTCATCGTGAAGCTCTGCAACGAAATTGACTTGGTGCTGACTTGCATCTCTGACGGCGGCTGATAACCTTCTAGTGGAGGCGCCAGTTTGGCGGCGAGCTCATCTGCTGCCTTTTTGGCCTTTTTGACGAGCTTTGCCACAAAATCATCCGCAGTTTCAAAAAGGAGTTCAACAGCTTGGAACAAGCGAGTTTTTCTTCGTTGAGGGGGCGCCATGCGCAGCACCAGCAACATCAAGCGACTTGGCTTTTGGTTCCAAACACGCACGCTGGCGCCATTCGACAAGGCAGGCATTGCCTCCGCAAACATCATCACGGTGGAAAACAAGAAACTAATAAACTTTCTTGGGGCCCGGGAGATGTTCTGCAGCATTGAAGTTGTTCTTCACCACATCTAAAGCAGCCCTCCACAAAGCATCCCCTGCCTTGTGACTCAGATCTTCTGGGCTGTGCGTCGGCATGGTTGGGCGCCCCTGTGAAATGACAGTGTAGGACTGGAGCGCTATCAGTTTACGCGCGCATTCAGAACAAATATAATACTGTGTGAGTGTGTGTGTGCGTTTGCCCTCCTGTTTGCCCAGAACCTGGGAGCGCTGCGATATGAACAAAGAGCAAGGATCTACGCCAGCCGCATGAATCACCATGTGAAGCTCGAGGAACATAAACGCCAGCCATGATCCTGTCTGCTACATGAAACAGCATGAAGGAACACAAAGCGCACTGCAGTCTTTTCCCGGCCAGCGCCGGGAAGAAAACATATTTCACCTACTAGCAGCCTCAGCTGCACTTTCTCGCCTGCGCTTCTTCTCTACGCCCCACATCTTGTCCTGCAGCGCTTGAATCCCTCTCGCAGCGTTACCACTTCACTGCGCGTTTTCCGCTCGCAGAAAGATTGGCCAACTTTGACGTTATCATTGATGAGTTTCACGTCAGTGGGCATACTGGCGGGTGGTGCTAGGAGGTTTGCCTCCCAAGCCTGCAGCAGAACAAAGACATTTTGAGTGGTTTCCCAACAGAAACAGCTGAAACGGTGAACTCACAACTCAGTCCTTTGGGCCACTGTTTCCACCACTACGGGCCTTGGTTTTCGCAGTTGGCTCTGCAAGAGCTTGCAGATGTCCACAACCTTTTCCGACCTCAGCTCCGATAAGCTCCATCACGTCCAGCAGGAGGCCAGACTCTGTGACAGCTGGCCACATGTTTTTACAGAAGGTCATTTCATGAACCATCAGTGCGCGCCGGTTCCCTATGTCATGGGTCTGTGATGTGTGTTTCAAGTGCTGTTTTGTGGTTTGATTGTGGAATTGGACGGCCCGCAGCCCCAAAAAACATCCCAGGGCACCCAACATGACTGACATGAGTGCCTCAGTTTGGTTTCTAGGGGTGTCAGGGCAAATTATAAAGTTGCTGGCCAGGTTTTGTAAAATGGTTTTCCTCATCTGCGTTCACTTCCCTTTGGGGTCCTGATTCACTAGATGGCACTTGGAGGGTGGGTGTTGGGGCGTCAGGTTCCGTACACATGTTTCTGAATCATTTTGTTCTTGTCAATGGTTTCTTCTTTACTGGCAGATAACAAAATGAAAACTTCTTTTTGTCAACATGTGCCTTCTACTTAACAGTTGGCACCCTGTACGTCTCTTTTGTTTTTCCTGGGTGTCTGCAAATCACTGTAGTACTCGGTCGCTCATACTTGTTCATAATTGGCCGGGGGCAAATGTGGCGGGGTGAACTTTCGCCAATCTTGAGCAGCATGTTCGCCAAGTTTTCGCCTTTTGCGGGCTAGGGTAATGGTAATGGTAGTAGTAGTAGTAGTAGTAGTAGTAGTAGTAGTAGTATTTGTAGTAAGTAGTAGTAATAAGTAGTAAGAAGTAGTAAAAAGTTGTAAGAAGAAGAAGTAGTAGTAGGAGGAGGAGGAGGAGGAGGAGCAGCAGCAACAGCAGCCGAAAAAAACATGTTTCGCCATATTTTTGGCCAACAAATACTTTGGCGACCTTTTTTTCGCCAAATGAGGTTTTGACGTTCCAGGGCCATGGCCAACAGCGCAACCGATTACTCAGGCAAAGTTTGCTGCTAAAAATACATTTTTTTCGTTTGGAAACATGGTTCTATAGATAGCCAACTGATGGCAGAATGTGTTGGGGGTTCAGGTTCTCTTGCACCGTGGTCGGTTTCCCCTGTGCTATATGTTTAAGTATCCATGGGTGAGTCTCGATACAATCATGACACATGGATGATTCTCTGCGAATTGGTCTCTATAAAATAAACCTACCCAGGGTGACAGTCTTCAACTATAAGAGCCATCATCGAAATCCCCTCCTCTGAAAATCCAGGCGCCCAGGGCTCACTTTACCCAAAAAATGGTTCTATAAAATATTTGACCCATTATATTGTAAAGAATACGCCATGGTACCATGCACATTGCTTCATTTATTTGGCCGAGCAGCAAATTGAAACCCAAATATTGCACTGCGGTGTAACGCTGCCCATCCACCAACACCACGGGTTCAAGCTCCAATGCCGCGCCAGGCAGCCCAAGTTTCCAGAAACAGTACAGCAAGGCCAAGTATATCGTCAAACCTTGAACAATGAATGTGGACACACACACACACGCACAAACAAAGAATCCAACAATGACAATGCTGCCCTACGCTGTGTCTTGGGCACACCGTGGCCTGCGAAAACAACTCTGCACACCGTCGGCCGCACAACGGTGGACGCAGTGTTTGGCACGTCGTTGAGGAGCCTTTCGGTGGACGCCATGGCGGACGGTTTAGGCGGACAACCGTCTGAGACAGCGCAGCGGTGTTGATATGAATTGCAGTGCAAGGTGTGCGGCTGTCTCAGTCATGTTTTGATACAATTGGGTCCACCCAAGGTGTGCGGTTTGCGGCTTGCGCCAGCCAGCTAGATGCAAATGATGTTCCAACCGACTGGGTGGCGAGTGACCGGAGTGACATGTGTTCATCATATCACATTGTATGTGGTGAAGAACAGTGATTTGTTTGATGATTTTTTAAAAACATGAACAAATATCCTGGTCATGCCAACCAATCAATGTTGTCGTGTGTGGTGTGCCTGTGTTTGACGCAAGCCACATAGCGCGGTGCGAGGGCGTCCATCTGACGACGTTTGTTTTTTGTCGCTTTTCGCGGGAAGTCCTGGTCAGGGGAGCGAACCTCTTTGAGGTGGCCAAATCCAGGCTGCGCGCGGGAAAGTCCAAGCAAGCTGCCTTCCCGGTCTGCCGGAGAGGCAGGCGGTTGGGGCTGGGAGGGCGGGGAGAGAGTCTGGGTGAGGAGCTCGGAAGAGGGGGTGGATTGCTCGGGGAGGAGGTTGGCCGCCCAAGCGTGCATAGCCGTGTGGGTGAGCAGCGGGATCCAGCGGACGGTGAGCTCGGATCAACGAAGCCGCGACGGCGTTGTTTGGAAACCTGCATCACCCCGTGGACCACTGACTCTGGCCCAGGCTTTGGCTTCGACCCGGCCAAAAATGGTGGTTCCACATGTTGCAACATACTCCGAAATCTCATTGGGAGGCACCACTCCAACGATTCATTCATCCAGTTCGTAGACGCAAAAAACAACAACGACATCATGATGCAAGTGGCCCTTTGTAGCCTATAAGGTTGGTAGTTTGACACTTCCCTTCGCGTACTGCGCTGTGTGTACGGCAGCCCATCGAGCCGCCTCATGGTTTGCCTAAGTCTCTTTTATCGGCAATTCGTCGCGTCCAAACCGTGGCGTGGTTTGCGGCGTGGTTTGGGTGATCGCAGATGAGGCGAGCCATGAACAGAGCACGGAGGGCTTCGCCCACGGACTGATTCCTTTGGGTCGCAACGCCCCAGTCCGGCGGATCGGGCATGGCGTAATTCCGGACGTGGCATCGGCCACCGAGTGGTTTGCTTTGCGCGTCGACCGAATTGGGCACTGAGAAACAGCTCCATCTTGCGGACGGTGGGGTGATCGGTGGCGTCGCGGAGGTTCCAAGTCAAACACGCGTCGGGTGAAGCTCCGTTGAACGGTCACCCTCAAGCAGTGAACCGTCCAGCCACCGGTGACCGGCACGGTCCGGTCCGGTTCTCCGGCCGCGGGTCTTCGAAAGGGCAAGACGCGGTCATATATAGTGAGTATTCAGAAGATTTAGAAGCTGTTCGCTATACAGAACAGAACAAACTGCCAATGACATAAAGACCGTGCTCAGCAACGAAACGGTGCTCTCTGACGCGTGGACGTTCCTTTCAGCGCCGTCTCAGTCGGTTGCGATGTGCGACGCCCCGGATGGGCGTTTGCCCGGCGCTCATTCAACGTCCGTCTCAGAGAAGACCACCTGCAGACACGGGTGTTGGTCGGCTGGACACCGGACACAGGGCCAGAATAGATCTTAAAGATACGCTGCCCTCAAGGAGACATGTTCCCTGCCCAAACTGGGTCTCAAGATCGGAGAATGGATCACATTCATGTTATCAAATCAGGGAACATGTGGCCCTTGATATATATATATATATATACCAGGGCCCCCAGGCCAGGAGTGTCTAAATATAGCTCCTTAGAGGTGAAAGAGTATCCATTAACCACCCCAAACCGGGGGCCCTGGTATATGATCCGAGAATCCGACTCAGTAGTTTGGAGAAGGACTTAGGACTCAAATCCGCTTCAAATCCAAACTACTGAGTCCAATAAGGGTGCATGCAACCTTTTTACCCTCTATAGAATAGTGGCAATGACCCTTATACAACAGGTATTGGTACAATTACTGATTTTGCCAGGTGCCTTGAGACTCCAGGTATAGGTTTATATATTATAATATAGGGCTCTTGTACCCACCCTTGTGTCTGACAAAGAATGGGATGGTTAGCGGAGATCGGTCAGCCCGGTGAGACGAAGTGGGCCTTCCAACCGAGAGACCTCCGACCCCTTCTTTCTGCAGGGAAAACCCATTGGAAAACGGTGTTTCAGGTCTCCCTGATGATCACACACCATAGCACCTCCAGTCGTACCTCCTCAGAAGGTATTTGGACCAAACCCACCCCAAACACCTTCTCAGAAGGTACTTGGAGGCCTAGGGCATATAGCACCACCTATATAATTTGGATGGTTTCTGGACCTCCCCATGTCATCGCATGTCGACCTGCTTTTAGCATCCCCCTTCAGCCGAATCTGGGTGGTGCAGGTTCAAAAAAAGCACTCTACATACACACCTGGACGGTGGTTTTCACCACAAAGTTTGACACCATCAAAAAAATGTGTGGGCCAGGTTTTCACACTCAAGGTGGAATTCAAGGTGGTTTCATCCCAAATCTGGTGGTTTGATGGGCCGCACATGTACTAAATTCCCCACGGGCCATTAGGCTGTTGGGCAAATGTTATATGGGGTTGGTCCCGATCTTCTGAGGATGTGGGCCAGGAGCGCTAGGGTGCAAACATCTGCTGAGTTGCTTCAGACCCAACATCTCTTCCATCAGGCATCCCAACTATCTCCGCTCGGACCTTCGAGCTTATCTCAAGGCCTTCCAACTGGGACGCCCGAAGCCACGGCGGAGAATGTCGCCCTCGCGCCTCAACAAAGTGGTCAGATCCCCCTCCGAAACTGGAGCTTCTTGGAAAAGCTTGAGTTTTGGGGTATGTGATTTGATAAGGAGAGACCCAACCAATCAAGTTTGGTCCAGTCCAGTTGTCCTCTTTAAGAGCTGGGAGGTCTCCCAGCCTGATAGGGAGACCTCCCAGCCCGCCCAGCCTGGGGGGTCGGGCACGTCCGGAGGTATTCATCTCCAGGGCTGGGAGGTCTACACCACCCATTGTCCGAAGCTCCATCCAGGCTGCTTCCCTCGTCTTCACTCGCTCCACCGCAATGCCAGCGCACAAACAGTTGGAAGAAGTGGTCAGTCTCATGGAGGTCTCATTAGGTCATTAGGTCATGGAGACTGAGGTCATATAGGGATTGCTCGTGCTCGTTGCCACCACCTGGGAGTGGGCCTGGACATCCGATCTCTCCTAAGATGCACAGCCGGAGCTAAGCCTTGGCTAAGATGATGGCTGTCAGTCAAAAGCCGGAGCACGTGGTTGACCCTGGAGCCCGAAAAAAAAACATCACCGTATGGAGCTCCTCTAAACGGTGAACATGCCGCATGAGTCGCAGATCGTACGTCTCAGAAAAGCAATACTACCAGTTTCTTTGTTTTAACATGGTCCGTTTTCTATTGTACGTTCAAATCCAGAAGTCAGCTTTTGCTTGACCAACATGGGATCATGCCCAAACACTCGTGGAAAGAGATAGTGGCTGTGGGTCACCCCATAACCCTACGTGACCACTGAAAATGAACAAATTCCTCTATAAGGGATGTCAACCCACCAGGATTTGGAGGGCTCCAGGTTCTGACCTACCATATATGATAGATGCCTACGTGCTTTGGGGGGTCAATATATAGATCAATGATGATCAATGTAGGCTGTCCCTCGGTCCTTTGCTAAGGTTTAGAACAAATAAAAACTCGACTCATATCGTTACGAAATCGCTTCCAAAACCTTCTAAACCAATAAGGACTATATATATAGGTAAGGGTCTGGTTGAGTACAAACTCGGACAGCCCAGTTTCTCACGGATCATCTCTTGGGGGACATCTCTTGGATCCGCACCCCACGATCACGGCCAGCCCCATCTCCATGACCTGGCGGACCAAATGAGTTCTGAGGTGAAGCAAGAGCTCTGGTTGCTTGAAGAAAGGTGTTTTGGACGCCAGGAACCCAGCCATACCTCATGTTCAGAGGTGTGGGCCGACCCTCCAGGCACCTGCCGTTGTGTTGAACACATCGCCCTCTCAGAAGGTATGTGGATTATAAGGGTTTATAGTCGTTTTGAAAGGACACAGTGTCTCACTAAAGTCACTAAAGCCCTTTCTCAATCAACCACCCATGATGGTTTTTTCTTGGATCGATACCTAAACCTACAGAAATGTAATGGATCGACTTCCCTCCCTAACCCCTTTGGTAGCACTCTTCGTTCCTGGAAATCCAGTCCCAACCAGAAACAAAATGGATGTTTCTCCACTCCCGACCACTTGTCATGTAAAGGATCTCAATTCCCATATTGAAACAACTCTGATCAGCCAAAATGGCTACAAACGAGGCCAGGGCCGCTCGTGCGAGAGCACTGTGACTCTTCAGGGACTCTCTTCACCTAGTCTTTCACAAATGACCCAAAGCATCCAGGCATTGGACTGGCAAATCTATTTACATAATACCATGGATATCCGATGCTCTGGGTTGTGGCTGCCATTCTCTCTGTTGGGACAGCCAGGAGCTTTTGAGGCTTTCTCGTCGTTCTTCCCGCAAGGGTTGGTGATCGTGGGACCAATCCTCCGTAATCCTCCGTGCACGCCCTGTTTCACTAAGGCTCGGATGAAACCAATCCCTAAACCCTTTCAAACAGCACGACCTCAAATCTACACCCTGTCCGAATCCGAGTCCGAACGGGCTCTCCGTGGCAGGGGTCGGACCCGTCGCAGGGGTGGCCCGGTTCCCAAACCCTATCTGCTTGAGGGCCCGGATTCTTAGGGTAGTAAACATCTCCTCACCAGGTCGACCATCCGCGAGAGCACCTCGTTGGTGCCCTGGAGCTCTGCTTCTTCGAACTCGGCGCTGAGCACCTCGCCCCACGTCGCGGTCTCCTGCAAACGCCCGGTAGATCGGCTGAGAGTGCCCACGGTGGGAGGCAGTTGAGGCAGTGTCGAGCAGTTGAGGCAGTTGAGGTGAGGTTGAGCCACCCAACCGGGGCGAAGGTGAATTTTCTTATACAGGTGAATTGTGGGTTTGAGATCCATTTTGAATATCTTGCAATGACAACTGACTGACCAAACATCCCTCCACGTTAACACGTCAACGGATTGAGTCTGCAAACAAATCCAGCAGTTGCATCCCTGAGGTGTCCTAATGCAGGGAGCCCGCGACTTTTGAACCAAACTGGCAAGTACTGAGCCCAAACAAATCATGTTCACAGACAACAAAAATGCCACCGGAGCTAAAGACCGAGCGCGAGCTGTTCGAAGCACATCTTCTTCACCGAGCCATCCAACACGACACGACGGTTCGCCTGCGCAGTAGCTGTGTGGATCTCCGGTGTCAGCCAGGATTTGTGAGTTTTGGGCTATTGGGAGTGCGCACGCACATGGAGTCCTGGCCAGTCCTGAAGGCATGTTACATAGAGTGTGGCAAAATGAAATTCGTCGGGAGACCATACAGGTTTCTCACGGTGTCACGCTATAGGTTTCACTGAGAGCCGTGCATCCGTGCAAATGGTCTGATTTCCTTCATGTCCTCCTGCCTCAGGTTTTCTTTCAGCTTAGCTGAGGGAAGGCCCCATCCAGCTATCAGAACCAGTTTCTGACATAATATATATATATATATATATATCATGCTGGGTATCTTACATAACATATCTGACATGTTCAAATAGACCCTCCCAAGCATCGTCTACTGATCATCTTAAATCCTTAAGGTGGCGGTGGCTCTGCTCAAACCGTGTCAGTCCTATGCATCTCCTCCCAAAACATGTGCTCTCCGAATTCTCCGTGCATCTCCGAGGAAGGTTTTTCATCGGAAGACCAGCATGAGGAGGTCCCCCACCCGAAGCTGGTGGAGGCCGGCCTGTTCTGGGCCCCGCGCATGATCCAAAAAATCCAAAACATCTTAAACCATCTCAAATAGTCCACTCGCTCCGGCGGATGATGCTCTTGATCCCACCCGGCGACCCACCCACCCTCCGCTCTGCCCCTCGACCCACCAACCCTCCCTGGTCTCCGCGCTCCTCACCGGAGGTCTCCAGGGGCAAAGCGATGGGCTTCTGACGGAGAAGCTTCGAGGCCCTGGAGACCCGGCGGAGTGGCCCCAGTCCAGTCCAACGAGTCCGGCGAGTCCGCCGTCCCCCCTGGGTGGGGCGCCCTGGAGGCCCCCGGGTGGCGGGCTAGAGGCCACCGGTGGCCGTCGTGACTTGCGAGACAAGGCCGATGAGGTGGTCTTGGCGGCGTCAAGTTCCGGTACACTCTGACTCACGTTCCAACCAAACAGTCTGGGGGGGGGGTCCGGCTTTTCCACTTCCAGGTCAGTGAGTTGGGACCAACATGGATTCAAAGACAAGCGATGCCCTTGCTACTAGTAGCTTCTACAGCTACTAGTAGTAATGCCCTTGTTACTACTAGTAAGGCCCTTGCTACCAGTAGTTTCTAGCTACTAGTAGCGTTCAGTCTGTTAGTTAATGTTGGCTAATGACCCATTAGGACCGCGACGGGGATTGCGATGGTTTTTCCTCGCTTCCCACCCATTGTTGGGTCCGTTCACCGAACGAGTGACTCGCTGGAGAGAGGAAGGGCAATGAGGTTGGGGTGGTGTGAAAAAGGTTGATGGTCAATCGACGTTGATGCGTGCTGATTTGGACGGGCATTCTAGTCTTGGATCAAAGCTGAAAACATCTGAAGATATCTCTAAGGAGTATAAAAACACATTCAAAAGGGACGACCAGGGAAACAACACACAAAGATACTCAAACAATCATGAACATCAAATCATCCTTAGATGTCCTGCAGCACTTCTCAAGCCACTAAGGCAGAAACTGCTCTTGCACCAGCTACCCACGTTCGGCGAACCGACCGGGCTGGGACCTGATGTTGGGCGGGAGCTCCACCAACCTTCGCGAGGTCAAATCCACAATGGCCTGGGGGCGAACGAGGAGCTGCGACGGATAAGTTGGTTCTTCTGCACATGAGGCCGGAGGTTTCTCCACAATGGGAGACATGTTGAAGGATGTTGAGGGGATAGTTCATGTCGGCACCTATAGGGAACTGGGATCTACTGAGCACCTCGCCTTGGTGGGAAGCTGATATAGCAACGAATTGGGGATGACGGGAAGGCAAAATCTGATCAAAGTATAGGCCCTTTGGGGTACCCAGATCGTCCCTTAATTCCCGAGTGGTTGCGGGGTGAAACTTGGTGATGACACCTGACAGCAACAAAAATGTAGCTGGAGCATTGCCAGCCCGAAGAACTACTCTGAACTCACACAATCAGATAGTGTGTAGTGGAATGACCATCGTTTGACCCGGAAGAAGGAAAATAGAGGGGCTTCCCTTGTCAAAGGTCACAGAACCAGATCCTGTCTTCAGCCCCACTACCATCCCCCAGCGTCTCGGCACCTCACCGGTCTCACCGTCTTGGCACCATGTCCCGCCGGGCGGCCGGCGCCACCAGCACGTTGCGCTCGCTGAAGCCCTTGGCCTCGATCCTGGAGGGCGACTCCCGAAACGACGTGCGCCAGGCGCATGGCGAAGCGTGTGGCAGTGCAGTCCCACTTTGACAGGAAACCCGTATAAACATGTTCACCCCCCAAAACGATGGGCTTTCCGACGGCCTTTTTTCTTTTTTTTCTCTCGTATCGCGTTTCTTTTCTTCGAAACCCAAGTCCGGAACCACCTCCGGAACCCCATCCGTCCGTACTGTCCGAAGACGGCATGAAAAAAGGGCACCGCCTCCGGACCGGTGGAGTCTCGGATGAACTTCCGGACGGTGCCTCTAGTGGTCCCCAAATAGAGAGGATGGCACGGTTTCCAATACATGTAGGGACCTGGAAAAACGAGTCTACCACTTCCAAATGGGTGTATTGGACGCCCCAAAGGCACCTAAGCCCATTGGGCACCCGTGCCGGTGCCTGGTACGTTTGCTCCGGTTTGGGACATTTGGGGTGTTTCGCGGATCTTGGATGAGGTCCAAAACGTATTCGGAACTTGTTAAGGCCGACGACCACCAAACACTCCGACCAGGTGTGTTGATTTGGCGGTTGTGGGCAGTCCCCTTTTGTGCAGCTTCCAAACAAGTCATGAACATTTAGTGGTTGCCGGGGCAAAAAAGGAAACATCTGCCTGCTGTGTAGTTGATGTGGGTGTTTTGCTCCCCAACGCTGGCTTGTCAAACTGGTCAAATACAGGGAACCGAACTTCCATGAACTTCCATACGGATCAAGTCTCTGCGGCGGCGAAACCTACCAAAGTCGCAGCAGTTCCATGATGAAAAAATATGGCGGTTCCAAACCAAGTCCGCTCAGGAAGCTGAACCCCAATCATTCCAGACTCTACAGTGGGCTACTGCAGGTCCTCATTGACAGAAGGACATCCGTGATGAGTTGTTCCTTGCCGACAGGCACCTCACGAGATCGAGGACGGAGCCATAGAACATCCCAAACTCTCCGTCATGGGAGAGAGGCATATGTTCAAGGTGTCCGGATTGGCATATGTTCAAGGCATCTATGGGAGCGCTTGGGGATAGAATCAACCCTGTCAGACCCTGTCACACGAAGAAACGATGTAGCCAAGCTCCTTGGAGAAGTTGCTGTATGCAATAGTCTTTCATACATTGACCACCAAGAGAGTAAGAGAACCGACAAATAGAACCAACAACAAACAAGATTGCAACCCTGGAGGCATCCAAGATGTCTGTCATGACACGTGTGCTTTATTCCAGCATATTCCTGCAAGCGTTTGACAGCGCAGTCTACAGGATTACTGAAGAAACAACTCTTCTTCACTCTCCCACACGCTCCCAGAACCTTGAGTACTCTCCAAGGATCCAGATCTCTGGGGACATGAACTCAGGAACTCTGAAAGGATCTACTTAGAACTTCCAGAATACGAGCAATATCTACGTACCAGGAGCTTCAAATGGTAGCTCTGGATCCCCCGGATCCAGATCCACCCAGATCCACGGGGCGATGCGGATCCGAACGACCCACCGCCCCCCTTCTCGGTGTGCTGCGAAGCCATCGCATCCGCAGCCGCGAGCATTGTTCAGTAAGATGGAGCGCCTTTGAGGCTTCTGAGGCCCCAAGCTGCGAAGATGACCACGCTCTGCTTCGCCTGCTGCCGGTGAGGAGAGCACGGGGGGAAGCTGCCGTGATGCCAGTGTCCTAGGGTTCCCAACCTCTGGAGGTACACTCCCGAAAACTCACATAGACCGTCATAGACCCTGAGCATGGTTTTCTGGAAGAGTGTTTTCCTCTACTAACCAGTGGTGTACTCAGGGTCCATGGGATCGTCTTCCAGGGTGTAGTGTTTGGAGGTCCTGAACGCCTGTGACGAAACAAGGATGGAATGCACTGAAGGATGGTTCCGCACTTCAACCATGTGGCCACAACCTCTTCCTTCAAACCATGGTTGTTGTCTATGCATGAACACCTGCCACTTAAGGAAATCATGTCAAGTACAGTGGGCTACTCAAGTCATGCGATGTGCGTGGGCTCTCAACAAAGATGTTGTGGATGGTTTTCACATGTTTATCGCATAATACACTCACCCGAAACCGATCACAAAATCTGAGACGCAACAATCCACTCTCTAAAAAAATCCTGATGTCTGCCCTTGTATTATCAATTTGGATGGGGGTTCATGTGTATCTTGAAGCGGGTGAACTTGTTCGATGTTGTCTGCTATAGGCATGCAAAGGCCAGCATCGCGTCACAGAATCAAAGGCTCAGCGCGCCAGTGTCTAAGCCTTCTTGGGGAACTCTACTGTTGCCATCTTCAGGTTGCAGTGAATGGGATGGAGGAAGTGACCGTAAAATGTCATGCAAAGCCCCCTTACTTTGCGCATTCAAAATGTACAGAAACCAATTAATTACATGATGTTACATGCTTCCCTGAAAATTCATCTACTATGCCTATACCCCACTTCCTGGTCTCCGTCCTTCAGTGGGCTGCACACCGTAGTTTCGTTTCCGTGCTCACCCGCCGTACCGTCGCCTTGGACTGCAACACCGAGACCGGCGCCGCGCGGAGAAGAGGCAAACCTGCCGGACATTCGGTTCCAAGAGTGGGCCAGTTCTAAGACCAACGTTGTGAATCTTGATGTGCAAACTTCGTGGGGGAGCGCACCACATTCGAAACCTGAAAGGGCAGAGAAATCGTGGCAAACACTGCTTTTAGTTAACCTGGAAGTGCAAATTTCATGGCAAGCGCCGCTTTTGTGAACCTGGAAGTGCAAAGCGCACCACTCTTGTGAAGCCACTACCACTGCTACCTCCACTATGACTGGGACACCAAAATCATGTTTCCGCTCGTCGTCGTGATCCTCTAAACACTGTTTGGAGTCTTTTGCTTGCACGACAATTTTGTTTAGTTGTGCGCTTAGCATGTGCTGATTCAAATCCACAGTCTTCGTTTGCATTTTGTTGTGAAAACCTTCCTGCAAATGCAGCCGCAATAAAGGATGCTTTGCTGACAGAGGGCCTGCCCTGGCAGGTGGTGGCTGTGTTTTTCGCGGTCACTATCGGCTATCGTCTATCGTTGGGCTTTTATTAAATGAATTGCTTCAGAATGGTCAATGAGACTTCTTTGAGACCCAGCAAACCAGTGATGGTATGTGGTGGTAGTAGCTGCTTGATGATGGCAAACTGATGCGTAATAGTGGTTCAGTTTAGCCTAGACGATGGATACCCAGCCATTAACGGCGGGTTGCCATTAACTATGATGTCAATTGTGGTGCTGAATGAAAAGCAAGGGTCATCGTTACAGGTGTTGGCTACGTGCCGATATTGATACAGGATCAGAACCCAGCAGTTTGTGTGTTAGCCATGACCCTTGTCCAAACCCCTCCAGCCGATTCGAAACTAGCCAGGCCATCCAGCCACTAAGGCTAGGCATGGCTAGGCATCCTTTTTTAACATACTCGTCTTTTCATACACGAGGGCCGACCCGGCGTCAGCACATGCACCTCGAGGCGTTACACCAAAGCCCCTGTATAGGCGCCGGACATGCGCCCAAAAAGCATGGGCAAAACTCCAAAGAAGCTGAATTCAACAGTTGCGGTAATGTTGAATTGATGTTGTTTTGCTGCCCAAACATTTGTTGAAGTAGTAGTAGTTGTCGTCATCGTCCTAGTACTAGTCGCACTGGTGGTAGTAATCAGTAATTTAATAACAGAAAGGAGCGCTCTGAGCGGCGCGTTTTTGCATTGTTTCATTTTGTTTGTATTTTGTTTCTATATTTGTATTGCGTTTCTATTGATTTTTGTGCCACTGAAAGAATACTATTCTGCCTCAACCCCCCCCCTCCCCCAAAGGCAATTTCCAAAATTCCAATTTTCCAAAATTCCAATTTTCCAAAATTCCAATTTTCCAAAAAAACCAAAGAAACCAAAAAAACCAAAAAAAACCAATTGTGCCAGGACTTTGCCTCACCCCCTCTTCCCCCCATGGTCTGTGCAGAATTGTGTTTTTTGGTTTTTTTGGTTTCTTTGGTTTTTTTGGAAAATTGGAATTTTGGAAAATTGGAATTTTGGATTTTTTGATTTCCTGGGATGTTTTAAATTTTCAATTTCCTTGGAAGTAGACAATACTACCACTTTCTCTCAATTCCAGAACAGTCTCTGAAACCCTCAGTGATTTGTTCATTAGGGTCTAATAATGCTCCTTCTGCTCCTTTAACTCGAAAATTGGTAATACCTGACATTTTAGAATTATAACCAGTAAAATTGACATCTGCAATTTTTTCAAATGACATACCAATAATGAATTTGTTCTTTCTGTATTGACGATACGAAAAACTTAAACTGTCATGTACTGTATAGCTCTTCTTAAATAGTAAAAGATTTATGATAATGATTGCGCTTCAAACTCTGTGTATTACTGGGAATTGCTTAATTGAATTTGCCAACTTAAACTACGGGTGGCATCTTGAAAACCTTTGTACCTTGTAAGTCATTTGTATCAGCATTACCAGTATCATTAATTCTTCCATAGATCATAGGATTAATTCCATCTCTTATATACATAATTGTCAGGTAAGTATCGGTTCAGTTCTTCACCACTCCTTGGAGTTCTAAATAAGGTAATGAATGCTCCAGTCAGTTTAGAAGATGATTTTACAATATTCATATTAATTTCACCACCACCAGCATTGAATGTTTGGGTGATTGTGTGATAACAATTAGTAATGTTTCTTATCTTTGCCATTCCGCCCCCTTCTATGTCCTGCCATTCTAACACTCAATGGCTGACAAGTAGCACCAATATAGACATCGTCATTTTGTCATTTAGTATTCTGTAAAATTTTGCCTTGGAGTAATCCACCATAACATTACATATTTTAACTAAGTTTAAATGTTGTTTTTTTAATGAGTGATTGGGGTTAAATCCATTGCTTATATTGGTGCCGGGATTGATGTTCCAAAGGCCGTTCCCTTCAAAATTGATATAGCTGTGGCTCATTAAAGGGTTAGGTTCTTTCAAATCAGAAGTTACAGCGTAACCATCCAACATTGAAACAATATCGGATGGATTGAGGTAGTCAAGTCTTTTGGGACTTTTGTTCCTTTCCTTTTTGTTTTTATTGTAGGGGTAGCATAGGTTGTTGTAGCAAATGTATTAGGTTGTTCTTGATTGATCTTATTACAGCACTTGCAAGGTTATGCCCAACCAAACGGGTTATTTCTGGTGACTTTTCCAATTCTTCTATAACATGTTTGTATTTCTCACTGTGATGAACATTTCTAGTAGGTACTAATAACAGATCATCCATAATATCCCTTGTTAAAGATCCATCACAACCACCTGTGCCACTTATGTATAAAGTCTTACTTGTTTTGTAAAAAAACACTTGGTGATGAATAGGCATTCCATAAGCCCCTGCGGTCTTCTATCTTCTCCTTGTTTGCTATATTTTTCTCTTCAGCATATAGTGTTCTATGTTGTTTACAGTGATCATTTAAGTTTCTTGTAAAGTCATTCATTCTATCATTCCAATTTTGGTTCTTTTTTTCATAATCACTGTAGGTTTCTTGACCGATCTTACTGAATAACATCTGGGCGCTTCCAGGCAGATCCTTCCAGGCAATGTCAGACACATCAATCATTCTCAAGAAAACGCATGAAAAAGGTTGAAAAATGCTCATGTTCATCGAAAAACGCGCCGCTCACAGCGCTCCCCTCTCTTTAATAATAGTAACTGGTCAAATAAACCTCTGCAAAACATCCACTTAGAACCTCTACCACATCCTAGAAACAAAAACTGCAGCCGCAAAAGGTGCTGTTGTCTCTACCCCCTCCTAGAAACAAAGACTGCAGCCCCGTTCAGAACAACACATCAAAAACACTAAAAACGGACCAGCCCAGACTTCAGTGAAACAAGTCCAGCTACTTACGAAACCAACATTCCCTCAAGCCTTCAACCGTATCCCTAAGCTTGCCCCCTTGAAGTTCCAGTTTTACAACATATGACATGACAACTGTGTTGGGCGGCGGTTATTGTTTCTACCAACAACATTTCTACCAACAACAACAACAACGACAACACAACAACACCAGCAGCAACAACAACAACAACAGCAGCAGCAGCAGCACCAGCACCAGCAACAACAAGAAAAAACAAATCAAATAAACATACTTTGGACACAACAACATTCCTGCACAAAAACTGTGGTTGGCTAATGTTTGTCTGTGTTCTGTTTCTGACATGACTGGTGAATCAGTTGAATCTTTGTCTTCATCCTTGATGATCTGTGTTTTGGCGAATGAACCGATTGAACCTGCAATGAACCGTCCTTGGTTCATCATCGGAATAAACGAAACCTTTCACCTCGGAATATCAGGTTGGGTTGGGTTGTAACGGGGGTTGGACGCCAAGTGGATGGATTTTCTAACTGAGTTAATCATTCGAGATTTGTACAAGGTCACAAAAGAAGTACTCCTGTCCATGAAAAATGAAACATCAAATCTAGTTTCACTATGGAAACAGGGATGGTTTTCATGGGTGTTCATCTTCAATCTCCCGGTTTATAGTGGATGGCTGGTTGTTTTTTCTTTGGACCGGTGTGCCCTGGTATGCCTGGGTGGGAACACCATGACGACTGATCTACCACGAGTCGTCTTCTCGGCGCCTTCGTCGTCTTCTCCAGCCTGGACGTTCAGTCTTAATGACTGCAGCGCCTTCGGCGGCGCAGCCGGGACCGACTCGGGGCGAAGGCGGGACGAGGGCCCAGACAGGGGCGGGAAGATATGTGGTGTAGCGAGTCTTTAGACATGGGGCGGGAAGTCACGGATGGGAAGTCTTGACTCCAAGTCAGACTTCCAAGCCGGCGGGATTCGTGGTGAGTCATGGCAGGGTCCGCCCAAGGGTCACGGTTTGCCAGGCTTTGCCACTGTCTTCGTCAGTGGGGAACTAGACCATGGCCCAGCATGGGCATGTGGGCCGAGCACGGCCTTTTCCTCCGTGTTCCGCCCGTGTTCAGCGGGCAATGTAGAACCTATACAATGCATTGGGAGCAAACGAAACGCCCACTGCTAATGAACCGTTAGAGTTCCGCACACTCGCTCAAAAAAGGCAGGTTCCTTGGGCATCCACGCACGAGAACACTCTTGGTCTCGTTTAAAGTTTAAATGCATCATCTCTCCTCCAAAAGAAACTGAAGTCCCTTCCTCCAGAACTCCGGCATGTTTGCACCAACCCCCCTAATTCCTGCACCCAACCCGTTTTGGCCAATCAACAATGTTCAACAAAATGATCCGCCTGAGCAGTGGCCTCTGAGGAGGCCTGCTGCCGGTCTTGCGCCTCTTGTTCCTGGACGTTGGAGGTTGGTCCGAGACTTGGGAGGCTAAGCGAGGCTTCGGACGCCCCAATGGCCGGGTTCGAAGCACCATCTGAGGTGTTTGACCGACAAGATGGTGAGGATGGAACACTCTTATGGGGTCCCAAGTACAGTCTCAAACCCTCCTGGCACCTGCATAACAGTGTCTCCGTCCTCCCCTTCTCAGAGGGTCTGCGGATCCCCAGGGACTGAGCTGAACCTCTGAGAGTAGTTCTTGCACGGTTCGCAGAGGGCACGTGACAGACCCAAGACCCCTCATCAGAGGCGGAAGGTATTTAAGTAAGCATGGTCAAATGTAGATCCCGGAATGCTTGTCAGCCAAACGTAAACTGGGATCTACTAGTACTTCAGAAGGTCATATACATGCATTTTCCGACTGCAACCGGCGACCCATGTCCTTCGCTTGAGACAAAAGGCTGACCTGCTCTTGCCACCTAAAGTCCAAACAGTGCAGCCAAAGAGTGCAGTAAATCATAGTATCATATAGCATCATATACCAGAGTCACTGTGATCATGTGACTGATGACCATTTTTTGTTGAGAATCCTTTTAACCCAATCCCCAGTTCCACAGTCTCCATGCACCGCCCCTCGTCTCTCTCGCCTCGGGGCTAAGTTGCGGCTCGTCAGGTTGGAAGAAGCCCTCAAAGGACCTCGCTGCGGCTGGGCGTCACCGCGCGCGTCACCGGGGGATGAGGATCTCTGCCGAGTGGTGGAAACAGGTTTGACTCATGTCCAAGCAAAATCAAAGCAACAGCAAAGGTGAGGCTCCAGCCTCAAACATATGTAGGTCAAAACAATGATTGTATATGATATGTTTATATGTATGTTTGACCTTTTAGGATGTCCAATATGGTCCTAGCCTAGGTCCTAGGGACTCATAGCCACATCTCAACATCAGCACTCTCCAAATGAGATTTACTCATTTCAATTGAACTCCATGCTCACAACACTCCATGGACTGGAATATATATGCCTGGTGTTGATCCACATGGAACCCCTCTTCCACCACCCCGATTTCGGCCTTTTCTCGGCATGCTCATGCCCAGAACACGCCGTGGAAGCTTAAGTGTCCCCATGGCCCAACACAGTCGCATCGCTCTCGTCGCTCTCGTCGCGTCGCTCTCGTCGCGCCTCACAAGGCCTTCAGCAAAGGTGGCTTCGTTGTTGAGCCGCTCCCGGTCGAAGCTGCGGCCGTCGAAGCGCCGAAGCGCAGAAGAAATGGCTCTGTGATCGTTCTAAGAAGAGCATTGCACTCCCAATCATGCAAGTGGATGGCATGGTTTTTCGGAAAAGTGGTGTTCTCTTCCATGATTTCGAGAAGTGTACTGTAGATTGGGAACACAACGAATCTACTCCATGCGCTCCATGCAGCGCACTTGGGTGAATCAATGGTCCTCCTTTCCGCTGCGGATCGAATTGGAGTTTTTGGTGCCTGAGACCAAATGCAGTGCAACCAACATGTCACGACCCCGCCCAAAGTAGATAGAACGTGATATGTCTTTTTCAAAATGGAGTGGATTTGGAACACTTCTCCATCTGTTTGGCCCAACACTGTCGTCGAAAAACGGCCATCTTTCTGTCGACGCTTGACGTCCATCAGACCGTGTCAAGCCTGGCGTGGCGTGCCAGCCGCGTCCTGCGATGGAGAAGCGGAAGCCTGGGAGACACAGAACGGACGTCCTCAAGGTGAAAGAACACGAGCACTTGCAACATGAACCCCAGGTTTCGTGGTTGGAGGCCATCTCTACTACAGTGGAGGCCATCGCGATTAGGTTGGAGGCCATTGCTAGTAGGTTGGAGGCCATCGCTACTGCGGTGGAGGCCATCGATTGGGTGTTTTTGTATGCAACCAATGTACAGTACCAGGGTTTTAAAGACCTCTTGGGGTGCCAGTGCCATCGAACCTCTAATGACAGATGTTCCATTCATTTCGTAAGATGGTCCCACAATTGTTAATTATTTTTTTTGTGGACTCCATCCATGAACGGGTTCATTTGGAGCGTCCCATGGATCAACCTACCGACCTCGATCAATAGGCGGATCGTGTGGGGCTGGCATGTTGACCCTAGAATAGAAAAGGCCAAGACCCTCCACGCCTGCAGAAACTCAGCGAGGCATATTGAAGAGCCAGCAGCCTCAAAGCCCCAGCATCATGCCAGGTATGGTCCAAAGATGTCCAAAGTGCTTCTGGCCCCTCAAAAAAATGTTTTTCAGCACCTTCAAAGACCTCCTTGGAGTCTCGAAGTGACCTCTTACAGGGACTAAGTTGGACTAAGTGACCAAAATTGGATCTCAAGGACGACCACTTTGAAGGTCCCCGTCCACGGTCGTCTTCCATGCTGTCAAACAGCGCGGCGGTTCTGAGCTCCCAGCGCCACCAGGAGGCTTCCTGGCGTACTTACGTCTCGTACTTCGCAATGAGAAGAGACAGCCCCTCCAGAGATGACCATGACATACCATGACCATTTGGGGCCCTGTTTCAGGAGGTTTACATGGGTCTCCCTCCTTTACATTTATATATAATATATATATATATTATGTTTATCATAATATATAATTGATCCCTAGGGATCCAGTCGTACCAAACCTCAGAAGGTGATTGGAGACACGTAGGTTTGGAGGGTCCGGCCGTACCTTCTGAGGTTTGGTACGACTGGATCCCGAACGGGGATATCCCTCTTAAAGCTGGACAGCAAGTCATAGCTTTACCACTTCCTCCGAGGCATTGTGCCTCCAGCCCTCACCTCACCCAATGAGTGCGGAGGTCTGGCACCGAATCGCTCAGAGACAAGCCAGTTGAGCCAGTAAGGCCTGGCCTCCAAGAAGAGTTCCATGGACTCAAGAGACTGATCCCATTGTCCCATATGCTCCGATCTGTGCCGCACCACATCCCGGTCCGTGCACAACTCGGGGTTGTGATATTCTTTTCTTGGGCTCTGTTCTGATTGCCTTACCCCAGCCGTTGGTTCGACCCGCCAAATCTATACCTGGATCTTCAAACGGCACAAATTTTTGCCGGATACATTTTTTAGTGAAAAGACGCCGTAATCACAAAAAAAATGCCGTTTTATGGGTTGTACAAAATCCATGGACGGGGAAAGACGCCGTTTGGACGCCCAAAGACGCCGTTTGGACGCTTAAAGACGCCGTTTCTTTTTGCTTTCTGCCGGCGTGCGCCTCGTCACAACAAAAAACGCCGTCTTTGGAAAAAGACGCCGTAACGGCATTTTTTCCTGAAAAGGCAATTATTTGTGCCGTTTCGAAGATCCAGGTATATAGATTTGACCCGCTAAAAGATCCCAAATTCGTGGTAGACATGCACGAACTCTTGCACCACTTTCTCTTCTCTGAAGCCAATCCTGCACAAACCTCACCGTCATGTTAAACGGGTCTTTGAACCGTCAGGATGGTGCTGTCCTCCATCGAACCCTCGAGACGAAACCAAGACGGCATCACCGGTTCACCGGTTCAACTCACTCCCAGACACTCCTAATGGGACTGCCATATATGCCGCCCCATTGACCCCCATGGCACCACCCCAACTGATCGGCATATATGGCAGTCCCATTAGTCGTGTCTGGGACTGTTTGGCCTCTGCCAAAGCTCCAGCCACTGCGTGCACTGCGTGCCTGGGGCCGTCTGTCTTGATCCGGTGGGTTCCGTCTATCACCGTCTCGTGCCGTGATGTGTTCTTTTGGGGTGTGGCCTGAAGGCATGAAGGCCTGACTTTCTAAGAATGTGTTCCTTTTTGATCATATTTCTCTACCTGGTGATGAAGAAGGGGATGCGATAGATGGAGATCCACATACGTAGCATGTAGTCTATTGGAGACCCCTTAGCTTGAAGGTGTTGGTACAATGGACCTTTGGCTGATGGCAATTCCGGCGCGAGATGACGGGGCCCCCCCGAGGACGAACAAGGCCATTCACCTGGCCTTCGCCGCGCGGGACCACATCCGGACGTGTGGTGCCAAAGACGCTGCTGCTGAAGAGGTACCAAAAATGGATCGGGACGAATTCGATCCCTACTCAGCTCGATCGGTTTTTGGCCAATCCCAAGAGGTCTGGCCCTTACATTGATCAAGCCGGTGATCTTGTAAGCATGATGAATAAGACGAGAACAAGTCATGACCTGGACTGGCTAGCATCGAAAACAAACCCTGACCCTAATGACCCTAACATATTGACTTATTAGTAAGAATGCTTCAAGGAAAGCGGCCCATACAGCCAACGTCTCTGAAAAATGAAAAACCGACTCTGGTTGAGTTGTGTGCATGCCCTCTCTTGGAGTCTTGGTGCTGCTGCGGAGAATGAGTCTGAAACACAAAGATCGAAGTTCGAAGCATCATGTATATGTCCATGTTCTTAGGACTTGAGCTCAAGCCAAGCTTGATCAGAATGGCGTCAAGGACACGCAGGTAGCGCATGTACCGGATGACCATCTCTCGTTGGCAAGGCAGAATCCTGCAGGATCTACCAGGGCCCCCAGGCGAGGGGTGTCTAATTACATTTCCTTAGAGGTGATTCGGGGTCTCCATTAACCACCCCAAACCGGTGGCCCTGGTATATTTCGGGTTTAGGATGGTCTGGTTTAGGGTTTAGGGTTTATAGGGACTGGTTTAGGGTTTATAGGGAATGTCCGTTCAAGCCACCTTTCCAACCACGTTGCCTTCCTCCGCTCTTTGCTCCGTGGCCGGTGGGTCCAGTGGACCGCTGTGGCCCGCGCCGTCCGTGTCACGGAAGAGACGAAGGAATTCGTGGGTCCCAAGTGGTGAAGAAACGACTTTAACCGAATACCGCGGACCTCAAGGACCTCGATTTGCGGACACATGGTCACCTACAAAGGACCTCTGGTGTCGAAAAATGGGTGCAAGCATGGAATGGGCATGCATGTAATCGCAAACTCCTCCTTCACATCCTCAAAACGCCAAGACCAGGCTGCTAGGCAAGATTGAGCTTGTTGATTCTATCACCCAGACACTCCGTTTCTGCTGAATTTCTGCCTACATGGACCCCCAGGTCAACCACCCCAATGTGGGTAAACTAAAGATATGTCATGGAGGAGTGTCTGGGTCATGCCATCTCATCAGCCTACCAGGTTGGTTTTGAGTTCCCCAAGAGCAGTTTCTCTGGGAAGTCTGGATGAACGACCTTCGGGGCCCGTGGAGGGTGATTCCGGGGCACCCGGGTCGACCCGTCATCCTCCGTTCATTCGGCACCGGTTAGGGTGAAGGGCACCGGCGGAACTGGAGCCTTTGGCTGCTGAGGATGGGTGTTCACCGAAAGAATCGAAGGCACACCGAAAGAAGCAGCCGGGCGAATGCGAAGCCTTTGCGAAGCCGCTTTTACAGCTTGCTTGCTGGGGTCAGCTTCAAATGGCCGTTGCTCACGCAAACCTTGCCTTAGTTCTGCGCGTTTTGCTCAGCTGATGTGTCAACCTGTCAACTCTCCCTCACACAGTGATTCTCATGTGCACTTGCACAACATGTTAACATCCATACCCACGTCACGACTCCGGAGCCTGCCACCCTCGGAATGCCCATCCGTTCACGGTCGGAATCCACGGGATGTGTGTTGCAGGCCAGGCGCCTGTCTCCTTGACGAGGACTTGAAAAAGATACCTCATTGCATCGGCAGCTCAAAGCACTGTGACCGCGTGGTGGACCAGCAAGTGGATGAACAGAATAATTAGACACGAATAGACAGGTCAACCCACCGGGAATTGGGGGTCCGGATGCCATGACCCACAGCCATCTATGGGACTGGAAGAGGTTTCAATGGAAACTTGATAAACATTTGATGAACTTTGGATGCGTGATTTGAACATCGGTTGTCTGGTCCCACTCTTGTTTGGTGGTTGGATCATGTCTCTTTTAGCCAAGCACTCCATTAGGGACACTTGGGATTGACAGATTTTACATGTTTTTTGCTGACTTTCGGGGTGGTTTCAAAGGTCAATGATTGTCAGTTGTACCTCCTAGCTCCCATTCTGCGAAGCCAGTCCAACTCTGGAGAATCAGCATGAGGTAGATTTCTATACAAAACCTGAATACATGTGGAGCCTGAAGTCCCAGGAGAAGGAGTTCGTCGCTGTATGAACCAGGTGAAGAGATAGACCGCCAGCAGTGGAGCAAACTTCAGCAGCTTGTGAAGAAGACACCGGTTATTAGGAGGACTTCGAGTACCTAGACATTTGTAGACCAGAGTTGCTGCTCACGAATGCCAATGGGCCGGACTCGCTTCAGGAACGGAGAACAATCAAATGTATTCAAATGTATTCGCCAGAAGTGGATTCACTCATCGGGAACATACCAATCACCATCCAATCTCCCAAGTCTTGCATCCCCGCGCACGAGTCACTGCCTCCATCCCGGCACCCTCGCACCCCACACCGCACCCCACACGCGGCCCGAGAGGCTCTTCCGGTGCGTCGGGGGCTTCCCAGGCCTCCAGGATTAAAGTTTGCCCCGCGAGCACCGGCGCCGCATAGCGCAGCTGCAGTGACTTAAAACGCCGTTGGTCGCCACCTGGCCCGCGGGCAGCGGGCGTGCGGTTCGGATCGGATGGTTCGGTGTGCAGTGCCGCTGGTGGTGGTTTCTGATCAAAATATGCTTGAGGTTGAAGATTGGGACAAGGAGTGGAGCTCTGCATGGCAAATGCATGGGTTCTTAGAGCCCGATGCAGAAAAACAAATAAAATACAGTAAGGCGTCCTGTGGTTATGGTCGAGCCTGTGGCGCAGCTCAAGCTTGACCAAATACTTGGTCCTTGCATTGCTTAGGGTGATTTCAATATTTCCCCCATGGGTGACTCCCCCAACCTGTGAAAAAGCGATCATTCCCAGTTCCTGAAGCATACCAGTAGCAAATCCAAGTGCTCCGTAGAGCCCACAGTAGCCCTTAGCATCTCCATCTGTAGAGCCACCAAACATGCAGCATCCACCCAGGACCCGTCCAGGACGACTCGACTCGGCCATCCGACTGGTTCGACTCGGCGGGGCCGCCAGGAATGAGAGAATGGATCCGATCAGGGATATCCAAATAAAAAGACACCCCCCAAATCCCCCAAAATAGATACCTACAGTAGCACTTCCAACGGGTGCCCAATGGAGACCTGTAAGTAGGGTACGGTAGTCTATTGGACACCATTGGATGATCATAGATCCCCACATAGAACATGTATTGGACACCCTGCCACTATCTATTTGGGGAACAAAGATCACACTATATAAGGGGTCTCTCCTTTTTTCTCTACCCATACTCACGATGCGAGGCGTAAGACCAAGGCTTCCGGCCAATCCACCTGGAGCACATCATTGCCAGCTTGGTACAGTGAGCATTTTGGAGTCCCTATTTATGAACCTGCAAATTCACGCCCTTTTGTGACCAACCTAAAACCAGGATATCAAGTTCGGTCGCGAACTGAAGAACCTGGTCAAAACCTGGATATATCCGGTTCCACTTTGAGGACCTGAAACAAATCAAGACCTGTTTGAAGAACCGTCCACACCGAGTTTCGGTGCAAAAAACACGGAGGAACTGGTGTCTCACCTGCAAGACCGTCCATCAGCATCCGCGCAGCATGGCCCAAGGTACCTGAGGAGTTGCTTCTTTTCAACTCATTTGAACAAATATTCAGTCAGGAGCAAAGGACGCTACTAGGGGCTCCTGGCATCGCTACTATAGGAGCAAGGAGGCTACGAGTACTAGGAGTCAGTGGATTCAATCGTCGGTCTCCAGGTGCCCAAGTGTCCAATCCTCCAAATGCGTCGGTGGATTCAACTGACGAACGAATAAAGACTTCGACCTGTGGATTCAATATTCATCCCGGTCGGTGGCAGGCTGAACATAAACATACAGTATCTGACTATCTGAAACCACCCAGAATGGGTTGGCAGCCCCGTTTGGCATTGAATTGCTTTGGGTCCTCTAGCATGCGCATCTATACCTGATAGCTGAACCAAAAAGACCTTGCACCAATCGTTTTCCTCAGCGTGTCGCTCTTTTTCAGCGCACATTTGCCGTGGACGATCGGATGGTCGTAGCCAGCGGTCTTCGCATAACCTGGCTACGAACTGTGGCAAAAAAGAAAAAACACGGCTGCCAAGGAGATTGGATCCTACGGCTACGGGGTTCCCGTTGTTTCTATACTGTAGGGATTGAGGATCTCACACTTTGAAGTTTCTGCATGGATTCCTCAACTCCTCAACCTTTTAAAATGACCACAGCAGGTCTCAGTTAAAAAGAGTGTAACACGTACTATGCAGCAGGAGCTGGGATCCGTTCGCAGGTGACTATAGTGACTAGAGGTGGATTCGATTGTCACACCAGACCTGCTGGCACGGACTGTGGCGCAGACTGTGGCAACATGTGGCAACCAACGACATCTATCCCAATTCCCTCAGTGCGCACCATGCACCATGTGCTGTTGGCCCATGTTGGCCCATCAGTCCACCTCAAGCACCAGTCCGTTCCCTTCCCCAGTCCTCCGTTTCAGCTAGTTCCGGTGGATGCGACGCGAAAATGGACACGTCCTCCTTGCGAGGCTCACCCACAATGAACCCAGCTCAACCACGACCACCCAGCCGTTTCGACCGCCCTTGTCGCCTGGATCCACATGCAAAGGGTTATAATCCCCGCTGAGTCGATAGATGCTGGCAATGCCCGCCTGCGAGTTCCACTCGGGGCGGGATGGGAAGACGGGGCGTTCCGCCTGGGGCTCCGTTCGAACTGCGACGCTGTCGCACCCGAGTTCGCTGTCCCAGCATCTCGAACTCGGCGTTCGCACGCGAGTTCGCGTTTGAAGGCATCATGGAAGTGGAACACCAACTGTTTGTAGAGGAACATGGTCATCCAAGGGGTTATGCCATCCATTTTCATGATAGAATTTCAGGGAGTGTATTTGTCCTAAGATTTGGAGGTTGATGGCCGTATTGCATGCAGTAACATGTTAAGGATTGCCAAGCTAAAAAGGCAGCCGTTCCTCAACAACAGTCGAATTGCCATCGTGTCAGTGTCCCGGGACATGTTGAAAGCATGTCGCCCGTCCGTATTCAGACCCGGATGACCCGGATGCGCATTGTTGACTTTGACACATGCGGCATGTGGCATGTGAGCCTTCCGCACCAAATGACTCAACCAATATAATCTATCCCTACAAGTCCAAAGACCCAGTTACTGTAAAACCTCCTCGAGTAGTGTTTTTGTATGTTTTTGTATGACCAACTCCAGTAAACTGAGGTCTTTGACCTGGAAAAGGTATATGGCAACATGGTGCTCGTTGTTATTAAGCACCTGCGCCGACTGACCCGCGACCCATCCCACTCTGGCCCCCGTGATTCCCTGGCCTCCATCTTCTCCTCCACCCGCAGTTTGGGCGCTCGTGAGCCCACAGCCTTCGCCACATCTTTCGGCTTGGTCAACGTCTCGCCGAAGGCTTCGATGTCGTGCGCGCCCACCAGATAGGAGACATCCACCTGCTGAAGTCATCGGTGAAGTGCTGTCGGGTCTGAGACATCGTCGAGAAGAACCGGTCATGATCATGGGAAGCCTATTTAGAGCATTTAAAACGATTTAAAGGCTATAGACGTTGCAAAAACCATCCAAAAACTTGTGCTCATGGTAAAGCTGGACGTGAACCGCCCAGACCGTGAACACCAGCCCCCTGCAAACTCTTTGGACGGCACCATGCGGTAGTAGACGGCCCCGCTGTCGTCCTTGACGTCGTAGAGCCTCAGTGGGAGCGTACGGACAAAAGGACGGAACACATATAGGAAACAAACATGGGAAATACAATATAAAACACATGCGTACGGACAAACTAAGGAAACAAATAGGAACACATATGATAGGCGCCATCAAATACCCTCGGAAACCCCAGCACAAAAGGCAAACGAGGTCTTGCAGACCGCTTTATTTGCTCAAGAGCAGGATCAAGAATCATTCATACGCTGTTCGTGGATTTTAATCTTACAGAGTGTGGCTTGACAAAGGCGTCCTGCTCTTGTTTGAAACTCTTGTCTTCGAAAGTGGATGCCAACAACATTGAAGTACACACGACCTAGCACAGTTCCACTTGCAATGGTGTGAAAACTGTACAGTACACAAATTGAAGGCTTCTAAAGGTTTGTGGTGTTTGAAGGAGGGCTCCTGTTGATGGCTTTCTTCTGTTGTGAGGCTTCTTGGTGTCATGCAGCAACTAGGTGACCTAGTGTTCATGCTCATGGTGAATGTTGTGTGCCCTAAACTTTGTGATTCATTAGAGTTAGCTTTCATCCAGGTCATATAAACAGAAACCTTCCCAAAGAACTTACCCCTGTGATCCCCTGTGCCCATTTCTTCAGACCCACAACAAAATCTTCCCATCCCCCCGGGCGTTTGGGGTTGGTTTACTTCTTCCTGTGTCCGCGCCCGAAGAGACCGTCGCGGGTGGAGAACGCCCAGGCGCTTCTCCATGAGCGCTCCTTTGCCCTTCGGCTGCAGCGAGGCCACGCCACCCTCCAGCGTGAAGCCTCGGGGGGGGCGCAGTGTAGCTGCGGAGCGGTTCGCGGAGCGGTTCGCGGAGCGGTTTGCGGTTCGGCGGCGTTTCCCATGGAGTGTTCCAACAGATCCCAGAACGAAGTCCCAGAACATCCTCCTTGATATTAGCACTTGGGGTTGACGACTGACCCCTCATTTTGGTACGTAGAGAGGAAATACCAACAAAGATGTTTGAACTGCTATATACAGTAATTGAACTCTGTCGATGCTTGAACACCATTTGCGAGATTATAATGATTATAACAGGAGATTCTAAGAGCAAACGGGACAAGGATTTACCATATTTACCTCATCCATTGATGACCCGTCCATGCAGGTACGGTAACTCTTCCATTCCCATGGGATTTTCGTCCTTTGTCGGTTTGGGGGTCCGGTCGAAAAACCATCCGTTGGATCCTCCCTTAATGGCGAACGAGTTCGAAGTGGCGATGAGGCGAACATTGGAGGAAAGGACCCTCCGTTCCACTCACCGCGATCGCCCCTTCCGCTTCTCTCGCCGCGTGGCGCCCACCCGCCGGCAGCGGGCGGCAGCGCTCGATGGTAATCCCGGCGTCGAGCCAAACCTTGACACCGCTGACCGCGGGCACTGGAAAGGCCTCCTGCCGGCGAAGGGGCGCGGGCTGGTATGGGGGGGGGGGGGGTGGGAGGAACGGCGGGCCCCCAACACTGGGACAGGTATGCTGGGGTCCCGCGTAACCATATGAGAAGCATCAAACCACTACCAGGAGCAAGGACGCTACTAGGGGCTCCTGGCCTTACCAATAGGAACAAGAAGCTACTAGGAACAAAGGGCAGCGTTACTATTAATCTACTAGCAAGAAGCACCAAAGGGTCGCTTTTGGAAGGTTGGAACTTCAGCTGTGGCCAGTCTCCAGGATAGGCGATGGAAAGGGCAACACATCATAGGAGCTGCCTTTGTAGTAGAGAGCCTGAGCCGTGGTCGTTGTCGGCTGCACTTTCGAAGTCAGGTCGTGGAAAAGCAGTGGACCTGTGGGCAACAACACATGTTCATATGTTGGAGAGGTCTGCAGGTCTGCAGGAAGTTCTTCCCATCTGGGGAGATAACTCCAATCTCAAAAAGCCCTACTCGTATACTCTTTGGTTCTCTTTAGACGACGACCTGAACAAACATATATAGTCCTTCTTTTGTCAACGGTGCAACGATCTGAGTCACCTGGTCACCTGTGTCCAACCTCACAGCTGATGTTGCTTCAGTAGCTGGTCAGGTCTCCAGGTGCCCAAGTTTCCAATCCTCCAACTGCGAAGGTCGGTGGTTTTAACTGACAAACGAAAAACACTGACATTTGGTTTTCATATGATTCAATCACCCCAAGTAAAGGTTGAAAAAAAGCACTAAAACCACTCAGCCCAAGCCAAGGCACCACCGGAAAAGTTGGAAATGCTGCAAAGTTGGGATCCTTCTCCTGCGCCGCTGCGGCATCAGGGCGCCGCAGAAGGATGTAGCAAGGCGAAGGGAGCCAAAAGGACCCGCCCAAACGGGGTAAGACAGGGCTGCCCTGGGCTGCCGAGGTGCTTTTTGTTGGCATCTTCTCATCATTGGTGGCTCACTTTTAAACGCATGATTCCACCTGAAGTGTTTGTCGTCTTGGATATGGACCTCTTTTGAAGCCTGACGCAAGTTACCCCCAAGTTAACAGAAGGAACGATTTCCACGAGGTGAGCGAAAGATCCAGGCGAGCTCGCCCTCTCACTATCCTCGACCTATCACTGCTTTGTCACAAGAGATCTCAAGGAAACCCAACGACCCGACACGAATCGCTACTAGGGGCTCGTGGCATCGCTACTAGGAGCAAGGACGTTACTAGGGGCTCCTGGCCTTGCTACCAGGAGCAATGCTCGCTACTAGGAGCAAAGGCCATCTGCGAAACAAAAAAACACACACACACACAAAAACAGAATAAAACTTGCCCGACCGACGACCACTGGGACCCCCGGGCGTAGACGTAGCGCAGGTCTCGCGATCCAATGCCCAAGGCGTAGATGATCAAATCCTTTTGGTCTCGGATCTGAAGCACCGAAGAGTGGTGGAGCCCCCCGCTTTGGATGCTTTGGTGACTTGCTTCGTGCTATCCCGGCTTCGCTGCAGGGTTTGGGAGATGGGGGGGGTCTCTTTCGGTGCGAGGGGGTCTTGCGGGGGGGGGGTCAGTCTCCCTATTTGAGCTACCAATTACATGCAGATCCAACAAATCGTTTGAACTCAACTCACATTGCCGAAACATGCATTCAACCCATTCAAAAGCTGACATTGAAACACTCAAGGGGCATCCAAACCCCCTTGGATGATCTTAAAACGCTTCAAGTGGCCGAATATGCGGTGAACAACGTAGAGGGACTTCATGTCCCCAATTATTACTGCCTTGCACAAAGGGCAAAGCACTACTCGGTGGACAAGGCACTGCTTGATTCGGACCATTTTGCACCCGGATGAAATCCCCTGCAGCGACTTGCAAATCATTGGTCGTCTACTGTGGGATCTTCATTGGTTGGCCAAACAGTCCACGAACTTCCGCCACGTGATGTCGCCCAAAGAACCGTGAGGTCGCTCCAAGAACACTAGGCCCAAATACAGCTCCTCTGCGGTCCAGAGTGTTTGCGTGGAATTGAGGAGTAACTCCTTGGTATCAGTTGAGGATGAGGGCACATAGTGGATGATGTTTGAAAGGGCATATATAGGTACCCCCACGAAGATGCGGAAATCGCTCACCAGCCAGGGAATCACATCTCCTCTCCATTGGGCGCCCCGCACCCGTGTGTTGTATTCCACCGGCTCCGACCGACGTCCTGCGCCGCGTTCGGTCCCATCTTGACGAACGTAGGCTTTGAGGCTGCGACTTTTCCAACATCATGCTACATGCCTTGCTCCATCATGTGGCCAGGAGGCCTTTAATAAAGTCTGCTGATATGGTACATTCAGATAGGCAAAAAATCACCCTTCGTCCAACATCCCTTTGAGCTTCCGATGTGTTGGAAACCCTGAAAGACCTGTAGTCCTGTCGTCTACAGGAACGACCTACACCTTTCCACCCGACCTCCGACTTGCACGGACAAGACGGACCAAGACGGAGCATGGGTCGTGCGTTCCACCATGAAACACCTGGAGCCGTCCCACCATGTGCTTGACTGAAACAGGTCGGTCAACTGGTCCATCTCCCGGTGCCATGACCGGAAAAGCAAACCCACCCGTTGAACACGGCCACTTCCTGGAGGAGCACCCGCCATGGTCCGGTCCGGTCCGCTCCGGTGTGTGAGGGCACAAAAGGCTGCGTTTGGCGGCACATGCAGGGCCCCGCAATAGAAAAACATCAAACAAACCTTTATACAGTAATTGCATTGCACATCTATATATATAGTATAGATATATATAGATAATCCCCTTTGAAATTCATATGGCTACTTGGGTAGCACCATTTTATAAATCCACGCCCCCCATGTGGGGGTCTCTATAAAATCATGCCCCCCAACTCATGCGCACGCTATAGAATCAAAGCCCCTATGTCGTGAAGTGAAAGCTCACCGAAAGTATGTATGAAGTTTTCAACACCAAAGAATCACAACCCCCATCTCACAGACCGATTCCTTATAATGCTAAATGTGCTTGTTCTTTCATCATGAGCCTTCCACGGGAAAGTTTTTTCACCACGAGCCTTCCACGGGAAAGTTGACAGAGCACAAAGTTGAATTAACAAAGAAAAGGTGAAAGAGCACTCAAAAATTGACTGTCACAAAAAAAACACTCAAAGGTTGTTCCTCTATAGAATCATAATCAGTCAGTGACCATCAACATGTCTGCCACTAAGAAATCAAAGTCCCCATGTCACCAGTACAAAGCTCACGGAAACATAGATCTCAGGGTTCTATCACTTTAGAATCACGACCCCCAGGTCAACTAGGTCAAATTGCACCCTTGTCGGAAACTTCCCGTGGTATCTCGTGGTCTCCTTTTAGAATCAAGGAACCTGAGTGTCTCAATTCTATAGTCGCTCGGGAGTACCCAGGTAGCACTAATCTGTATAGGGGGAACCTTAAAGGGGATTATAGATATGCAAGAAACACCTGTTAGACGGGATGCTTTATAATATAATGATATATAATGAATACTTACTTGCACAATCCCCAGTGAATCCCCAGTACATGCCAGGTTTTCTCACTGTCATCAACATGTGACTCTCTGAGCGTGCCGTGCTCCCGACCAAACGAGCCTCCAAACTGCTGAATTGAAAAGGGCAAACTACAGGGGATTGAGAGTAGATGATTGCACAAATGACCCCGAGTTTGGTGATTATGGACCCCCATCGGAGTCATCTTAGGGTCTTAGGGGTAGTTGCGCCGTCCACTCTGAAACCACTGTAAGTGCTCTTCATTTTTGCCTAGGAGACAACCTGGTTCAGGCCGATTCTCTTGAACAGGCAAAAATTTGAGCCTGGGTCCAGGTATGTACACCAAGCAACGAAGCAATGCCTGTCGTGTCTCTGAAGATCCGCTGATGCAAACACTTTGGATTGCTGGAATCCGGCTGGGGGTCTGAAACCATCGATGAGTCTCCCACGATGTCTCCCCAGCCGGTTCACCACCAGCGAGTCGCTAAAACAGGCTGTTCAAAGAACTGGTTCCTTAGGGCTCCAAGTACTTCCTCAGAAGGTATTTGGACCCCTCAAACCCACTCCAAACACCATCTGAGGAAGTATTTGGAGCCCTAGGGGTTGGAAAATTTAGGGAAAAACACCCCTCGAGCCACGAGCCCCCATGGGTGGTGACTCAGAAATGGCCGTGTCTTTTTACGGCAGACTCATAGGAGAAGCCTGGAACCTCTAATTGAATCCCATATCTAAGACAGAAAAACATGGTCTTAATTCTCCAAAAAAGGAATAATTGTCTCAACGAAGTTCTTTTTCCTTTCTGTGCCTCAGGAAGAGGCAATGCTTTCTGAGCTGTCGGATTCTCCAGCTTCGCTGGACTCTTCTGCGACCCTCCACTCCTTCTCGCCGTCTGTGGAAAAACCAGCGCTTCGGGTCAAAGACACGTAGACAGCGCCACCTGCCAGGCAAAACAGGACGTTCACGAAATAGACCATGGGCAAATTGCCCTGATTCAGGTCATTCGGCGTCCAACTCTTCGTTGCCTGGGTCAAGGCGGCTGAAATGGCGTTGGGAAGGCCACCCATGGCAAACTGGCAGAACGCTTGCATCAGGGATTTCATGGAGGGCTCTGCAGTGTAGGCCACATGCCAAAGCACTGGGTTTACCAGGACTTCACCTGCGCCAAGAATGCGGAGTGAAAAGCTCTAGGCAGGTTCCTCCTCACTACTGCATTCTTTGAACATCAACTCGTAAGTTAAGTTTCCCTAAAATCTAGGAGCCAAATCATTCTTCCAGGAAGCTTCCCTTGCCGCCTTTAGGGCAGCGGGGGGAACTTCCTGGAAGAAGCGTGAGCCATCCTGCGTCCTGTGGTAGCTATTTAAGCTACTAGCTACCTCTAGCTACTACTAAGCTACTTACCTCTACTAGCGGCCAAACCCCCCCCCCCCCACATTAAAAAGAATATACAAGCTGCCCACCCACCTATGCCCACCATGGCATACGGCAAAACCATCCAAAACCCGCTCATTGCGCTCATCCTTACATGCTGCCCGTCGGCAGCCAACGGAGCACAATTCGAAGGGATGGGTAAAACCTCTGCATTGCGGCGCGCATACTCCAGGCTGGCAGCCGTGAACTGTGAGCCGATGGCAATGGCTATACCTCGCCAGTCGCGCCATAAGTCAGAAGCAGCCCAGAAGTAACTACACAGTAAGACTATGTAAGACTCTTGTTTCGTCTGTTTTCCCAAGTGCCTGTCAAGACCTTCATGTTGCTGCTCACCTCCCTCCTGAGAAGCTTCTCTGCAGCAGGGACCATACATCGCTCCAGCAAAGGCGTGAAAAGGATCACCGCCAAGGCATCGCCCAGATTGAAGAAGGCTCCGCTGAGCTGCATGCCACCTCCCAGCCGCGTATCCATCTGACAGGCTTGGGAGTAGAAGAGGCTGAACATGGTGTTGTAGAGCACATTGAAAGTGACGTTACCCACAATGATCTTGGGCACGACATCCAAGCATCTCGTCACACGGTCAGGCTCGCCCAACCAGCAGTTGTCGCGGTGCGCCACACACAGGCAACCAATGCATAGCAAATCAGCCAACAGGCTCACAATCGTCAGTGAGTGTGATGGGTAGAAGACTTGCAACACGGACCTCGCTTGTTCTGGCAAGATCATGGTGACGGTTGAAGCCAGCAAACTGATTGAAATCGCATCCGTTAAAGTAAACGGACACCCCTTTCAACCCGGGTAGGGCACTCCACTGGTGGAATTTACGACTTCAAACTCTGACTTCTGCCTAAGACATATCATGAATCATCTGGTCTTGGTCTATAGATCGTCATTCACGAGGGGGTCCTTTCATCAATCCACAGTTCATGGGTAGTTTGGATTCACGGCCGTTCAGGTGGGACGTGTCACTTGAACGGAGCCAAACTCCTCACCCAGGGACAGGATGATGAGTGTAGGTAGCAGCACCCAGCCCAACAATGCCACTTTGCCCAAGACCTTCTGCCGGCCGCCTAGTAAGCGCTGCACTGTCAGCATCAGCACTGGCTCTGTGTTCTTGTCAAAGCTTTCCTTGCGGTAAAACGGCGTGCCCACGATGAACACAAGCAAAGCAATGGCCATAAGGATGGCCATGATCATGTAGGCGCAAAAGAAACCATCTTCTTTGGGAATGCCTGGCAAGCCTGCAGTGGCCACGTTTGCTAAAAATCCAAATGCAATCACCGCACCCACGCTCATGGTGACGTACAAATACATGAAGAAGGCCTCCTTCCGCCTGCCCGACTCTGCTAGGTCATCAAACTGGTCCGCCCCGAAGGTGCCGATGTTAGGTTTCACCCCACCTGTGCCGGGCGCCGTCAGCACCAGGATGCCGACCATGAAGAGCGGGATGCTCTCCATGGCGGGCGTGGCGGCGAAGGCCGTCAGCGCGCAGCCGGCCGCGTAGATGGCCGAGAAGACGAGGATGGTGGTGTAACGGCCGACATAGGTTTCAGCCAGGAGACCACCCAGGAAGCAAAAGGCAAAGGAGAGGAGCGTGAAGATCCTCCGGTCTTGGGATGGAAGTTGGAAGTAAATACCCAAGCGGTCCAGGTGGGGATTGGCCTACAGAAATTCTGGTGGACATCAAGCATCATTCCAAGCTAATCCAAGGAATGCATCAACCACTAGAAACTGCACACTATTGCTTTACGCACAACTACAGCGATCAAAACGAACATATGTAGTTTAAGCATGTCCAAAGGCACATCCTGGTCATGTTTCTAGAACGACAACTGTGTATTATAAACAAATTTGCAATATACCCATGGGTCACAACTGGTGTAAATGTAACTCTTCCTGTCCCATGGATGGTCTGGGAATGTCTGGGATATTTACAATACAACATGTATTGCGCCGTCCAAGTCGCCTCTTATGAAGAACAATGATCCGTCCCCACATGGAGAGTTGTTAAAAAATATGCATGTCAAAGTGGATGGCCATCCCCTTTCACTTCAACATGAACTCATGTTCGTCAAAGGATCTGATGCACTGAACTGCTATCGGCGTTGGTGAAGCCTTGATCCTGAAGCCAGGACTTCATGGTGCTTACCAACGTGTTCAAGCCCACACTCCAGCATAATTCAATCACCACGATACACACGACAGCTAGAGCCATGGCAGTCACTGGGTGCAAGAAATGCAATAACTGTGACATCTGAAAATCATCCGACGCGTAGGAGGCCATTAAGGGAGTTAGAAGCACTTGGAATTGCTGTATGTGTTCTACAAGTGTTGCGGTCCTTTTTGGACGCAGTGATCCTCTCATCTTGCAAGTCGTGCAAACTCTATATAAGCACAGCCCAAAGCTGCAAGACATGCACCTGCTGAATTGAAACAACCCTATATAAGACACCCTGTCGTTTTTGGCGCCAGGAGCATAATTTCAATAATACTCCCCAAATCTGGTACAGTAGGATATCCACGGGCTTTCCAATCCAAGTGGTTCAGCAAGCACGGTGTACATTGCTGAATTTGCACGTAAGTGCCGCAGAATGCAGCAATTGCAGCAAGCAAAGCCCTGAGGTCAAGCATCAACAGTCTGGAAGGAAGAACAGTGAGAGGTGAGAGGAACATTTCTATGAACTGACTCCCTAAGTTTCCCTGGAGTGGGGCATCCCCTCCTTGAGTGGGGCAAACCATTCAACCCAAAACGGTTTTGCAAGAAGATCTACGTATAAACTGTGATACTTGTCCTACATAGATGCATATGTATCATTTGAGGACTCTCATGAGCAAGACTTGCTTCATCCACCCATGCAACCCATGCATCATGTCCGCTGCGTCCCGCATCCAACGCCTTCTTTGGAAACGCAGGTCGTTGCGCCAACATCAACGATTTTCACTCACGTACCTGGCGCAGAATTCGGCCGGTTTTTTCCTGCGGAGCAAAACAAAGTTCTGCTTTCATGGCTTGCCGGCTTGCCTCAAAAAATGAAACTTTGACTTGTATGAGTCGATTTTCAAAATGAACATCCATGAACATCCTAGTTTAGGGTCGATGTGTCTATCTTTTTGGAAACAGATTAAAACAACTTAGATAGAGGTGGCACGAGGTCGATTTTCAATCAACCAACAGGAAGCACTTTTTTCTCATGACTGGCAGGTCGTGGGCTTTTGGACCTCCAATACTCTCAGAGGCTTTGACCTTCCCGCTAAGGACACATCCACGTGAACCCCCATGCGGGTTCCAAGAAATCGCTGCAAGTTCCAACCAATCGAGTTCCGAAATGGGTTACCTTCATGTACGGTCCTGCAGGTCCACAACGGCTCGTCACCGTTTGCGAAAAAGCTGCACCGGCTCGTCACGGTTTCACCGACGTCGCCTGGGGAAGAGATCCGCCGTGATCTTCGGCGCAGTCCATCCCAACTCGCGCAGCTGCTGCGAGAGCCTCGGCGAGCAATTGAACAAAAGCCCTGGCAAGCCCTGACTGAACCAAACACTCCGGACTCCGAGAATCCAAGGACGTGAAGGCTTTATACCTAGAATCCAAGGGTGTGAAGGCTTTGTACTATATGTGAGGGGACTTGTTGAAACTGGCTACTCAAGCAAGATACGGCAAGACACGCAGCCGCCCTGTCCAAGTCAAAAACTCGAACACACAAGACACGCAGCCACCCTGAGCCACCCTGTCACACGCCCCACAAGTCCAACAAAGGTGCCAGGTGGCTGGTTCAGCCTCTTTGCATTCACGCCCAGATCCAAATATCCCACCCGACTGGCCGAGCGCACGAAGACCTCGCCCGACTCGGAATCCTTGGGTGTCCTGAGAGGAAACAAAGGGCGAGGTCTTGTTGTGGAGAAGGAGCTAACGCATTCTAAACATTCAATAACATTCATAAGATCTATTGGATACAGGAAAACCATGGTAGACCATGCTAGACCTGTAGACCACGGAACGAGAAGATTCATGATCCATCATGATCCCATTGCCATCATAGTCCATACCTCGTACACGGTGCAGCATTCATGCCTTTCTAGACAAACGCAAACGTAGGTGCCACAGCACATCTTTACCACAGACCTTCATCTTCCCGCCGTGGACCTTCCTTTTGCGGGGAAACACACAACAAGGGACTCAGTACAACAGAACACTTCATGATACCTCAGGCACTTCCAACTGCAACATACATTCTGCTTGATTCTCCTTGCCCGAAACAGCAAACCTTGACACTAAGCCAAGCTGCACACGGAACTCCACGTCATCGATGTAACCACGTTTCAAGGATTCAAACTGAACCTCGGGAGCACCCAAAAATGTCCCAATTCCAGACACCGGACAAAGGAAGAACACCCCCAAACTGGGGTTCCCACATAGGCATAGCCCTTCTCTGCGTCCAGGGTTTGAATCTCAAATCCACCTGACTTGACAAGCAGTGTGAAGTGGGTGAATCACCCTCGAATTCCACGAAAAGAAGTACAACCAAACGCATTCGAACTCAAACAGATCTCGCAAACCGGAGCCGCCGGGTCACCCGTTCCACCCTCCGACCGGTCCGACCGCGTCGCATCTCGGATCCACGGTTTCCACCGGAACCGAAGCCACCGGACACTGGAAAACGGGGCCGAACAGTTGGTCAGTCCAATCAGTTGGTTCGGAATGCTTTCTGAATTGCCATATCGAATAACATCTTGATGGGGACTCCCATCAAGGACCACGTTGGTGTCACCCCGGAATATAAGTTAAGGAGCCCCCATGAGCCCCCGTTTATCTTGTAAAGCCTGGGTTACAAATGGCAACAAATAGCCATGGGCGCCCATGGGATATGATATGATATGACTGCTCTTATGTATAGAGGCGTACCTCCTGGCAGTGACAAATGGATACAACTGGCAGTCCTGCACTATCCCTGGAGTCTGCAGCAGCAATATCCTCGAACTAGGTACCATACTCGTGACATGGCTGGGCGAACCCGGGTCATCCCAAAACCCTGATCGTCGCCTCCATCGATGTCCTGCTGTCCAACCGGGTAGGATTTCAAGGCTTTCTCCTGAGAGTTGCAAAGTTGATAGATTTGGCATGTCCATCTTATAATCTTATACTCTTGTACTCAATCATTATCAAGTGAGTCCAGTGAAACCTGCAACGATGGAGAAAGAAAAACAGCCATCGAATAAATCATACTTGACCGCATGATGACCAAGCGGGCAAAAACCTCAAGAATGTGGTGAACACCATTCTCACCTTTCTATCTACTAAGTGGATCGGCCACGTCGCCGTTGGTTGGTAATCATGTATACGCAGTTTTGTGTACATCATTGTACATCCAGTTGAAAGCAAAATCCTGAAAAAAGAATACATTGTTCAACACTGGCTGTTGTCCCAGCTTTCTTCTTGCGCTGGTGCAAGTATCTTTTCCTCTTAGATCAGATCACGACTCTCACACGGGGTCGCTGGATTCACGCTGCATCTCCGAGACAAGGAACCATTCAACCCCAGCACAATGCAAACAAAACTGGCAAATTGACTGATCAGGTGACTCACGTGTGGTGGTTGCTTGATTTCGTTGGGTCCAGAGTCCATGTTTCTTGTGTCTGGGAGATGCTTTGACACATGACCCAGGCCACTCATATATGGAACTGTCATAAGAAAGGGGGTAAATGATGTAATGACAGACCCAGGCCATCATGGATGGCCAATACATCTAGACCCAGGTCATCCATCGTAAATATGTCATTGATTGATATTCCTTAAAGTCCCATGAATGGGCTCGGCAAGTCGATCGATGTGATCTTTTTCATCCGAAGGCCAGTGATCCAACGGTCCAAACGCTGTTCGAAGGGATGAATTTAAGGACCAAACACTGCCCATCATGGCCCATCTACGTTCACTTTCGAAGTCTCACAAACAACTTATCAAACAACTGTTGGGCACTCTTCTTCCGTGACCAACAGTCTTTCCGCTACGAGTACTAGGAGCAAAGGGCATCGCTCCTAGGAGCAAGGACACTACTAGGGGCTCCTGGCATCGCTACTAGGAACAAGGACGCCATAGGAAAAAAGCAGTCTTTCCGCTCCACGATGGCCAATCATCCGTTTCTGCGAAGCTTCCAAGTCTCTCATGGCCCGCGCTTGCCCTCCAGATGGATAGGCCCAAGGTCTCGGCTGCGAACCAGTTGTCCAAACACAAAAGAAGATGCACACATACTGTACGAGTACTTGTGTTGACAAACTCATTGAGGTATACAAATGCAACTGCCTTCACCTGCAAAAGCAGGTTCCCACCGCATGGAATTCGTTCGATCAGCTCCGAAAAGTCTGGTTGACCGCTGACCCTTGGAATAATATCTGCCTGTCACCCTGCGACGCGATTCATCCACCAAAAATTGGAGCGTCTTCCTCATCTGCATGTCTGTCATCACCCAAAGACTGCTCCACAAAAGCAACAACATCTTCAGTGACCAGTATTCATTTCCTGCCCCGAACATCGTTCTAGCCCAGCCGCTTCAGGTAATGGTCCTCCTAAGATGCAAAAGCTGGATAATGAATGATAGTGAATGTCTCAGAACATGTCTCACAGCATTTTCAACTCATGGGCCCATCTGCTTCAGCAAATGTGGTCTGCCCAGGCAGTTTGCCTGCTGAGCGGAAGTAGGGCTAGGATTCCAAATGATCTGGTTCACACATTGGAACTTCACAAGGCAACATCATCTTTCGGGAACTCCTTATATATCTGTCCTCAGCGAGACTCATCACTGTTTTCCACTCTTGAAACGTGGTTTTGATCTAGAGAGGAGAACTCTTTAGATTCTTTAGTGGCAAGAACGGAACTTCTGGAATTATTTCTGCCAACATGGACAAGGTCTCCAACTACCCGCTCAGAAGTAAGACTGGGGTATCTCTCAACTACGGTGCTTTTGGGAAGGACTTGTGTCCAATTCTACACATCGTGGGCTAGCCTTTAGCATTTGGCTGAGCATCATCTGCGGCCGCTGAAGAGAAGCCTTAGGCGACTGAGATGGGCTTGGCAACGGAAACCATTGGCAAGATCCTAGTGAGAAAGGAAAGAAACAAATGTAATGTAGACATGTAGACTCTTGATTGATAACCTCCCCCAATTGAATTGAACAACCTCTTTATAAGTGGTGCTAATCAAGAGTCTACATTAAAGGACATCCTGCCAGTTCGCAAGATTCGTCCATGACTTCGTTTGGAATGGAAATCTGCTTTGACAACTGACTGCATGGCGAGTAATTAGTCCGTGTAAGTGACATGGTTATGTGCAATTAGCACGTTTGCTTCCCTGTTTTTTTTCCAGTCAATGTTGACAGTTGATGAATAAACAACACCACCTATAGATGATCCCAGATTGCAAAAATCAAACAATGGGACTGTCTGCATATGTGGGGATCTGTGGAAGGTTTTCTTGATCAACCATCAACATTCCCCAAGAAAACATGGCACTTGCACCCTGCCCTCACTGACCGAGTGTCCCGACTCAGTCGAGTCGCAGTTGGGCGCAGCACCGCAGCCCGCGATCTGCCCCAGGCCCACACCTGGCACCACATTTGCCAAGCTTAGACTACGCAGTGCAAATTTAGGTCTAGGTTTTTACCCAGACACTGCATGGGACTGCCATATATGCTTACATTGGGGTGGTTGAAAAGGGGTCAATGTCAATTATGGTAGTCCAATTAGTCGTGTCGTGCGGTCATTTCGGTGGACTGACCACGTCGGGAGAACCAACGGGTCCAAAGGATCCGTCGACATGAGGATCCGTCGATCCAGCGCGCGCTTCGATGAGAGGAGAGCGAACAAAAAAGAGCTCTGCATGGGACCATCATCGACCTGGGCAGGGGTTCCTGGAGACCCGGGCCGGGGTGCCGCTTGAATAGCATGTATACTTGGAGTCTTTGGGTGGAGGATTCACTTTTACCTTGAGCCCCCAGTCTCTAAGTGATTGCAAGGCTCTGATTTTCCTCTTATGCCTGTGTCATCCTGTGTCCACCCAGCGGGCCATGTTTGGAAGATGATTGAAGATGCATGCAAAGCAACACGCGCACTTGAAATCGTTCACATGCACCTAGCGTAGGTGCAAGTAAGAGACCAAAAAAAAATCCAGTGCATGATACCATATCGTTACAAGACGCTCCCTGAACTCATCTGTTTGGTCTTCGAGCGAAACGACTTCTGTTTGGTCTTCATCCTTTCGAGGCCATGCCATCCACGGCCAGGCCCCTGATGAAGGCAGGGCAGTGTGTGGTTAAACATATGCCTGTTCACTCAGCAGTCTTCGAACTGGCCCAACCAGTCTCGCCTGCTGGTTTGGGCCCAGGAGTCTTTGGCCCTTTCACTTCCTGCGGGTTTGGGCGATCAAAACTGCCGTCCGGAGGCGAGCGTCTAACTATTCGTTGGAGTCGAATCTTCTGGATGCTTCTGCAGGCGGCAGTAGCGTAAGTAAAGCATAGCCCTGAAGATCCCTCTGCGACTGGAGTGATGCACTGCCATTCGGACATGCCAGAGTGATTTTGAGTCTACGCGACCACCCGGGAGGTCAGGTATGTCTCTCCACAGAACATATACTAAAATTGGATACAATTGGTATGGCTTTGCTGGTGCACAAATGGGGAATGGCTACCCGACGATTTGTCTACTGGACACGCTCGAGGTTCACAGACTTTGTTGTTGAATCGATGATTGGTTTTTGGACTCGACTCGTGGAGATGAACATCAAAAGCCTTATAACTTATAACTTATCGACTCTATACAAGTCTCCTCTGGTGGTATTTGGAGACTTCAAAGTCCCAAGTGGCGACCTGTGAAGTCGGGTGCTGGTATAGAACCCCTCTATCTTTTTCGACGCATTTGTTCATCTTCGACTCTTTGTGCAAGAGGTTGAGTCCGAGTCGCAGTTTATGAAGGCTAAATGGAGGGTGTGTGGAGAAAGGGGGTCAGCAAAAATCGCTTATATACTTATATAGTGCATCAAAAATACCTTCCACAAAGTTCTGCGAAGGTTTCTGGAATTTCGTTGCAGTCAGTTCTCCTACTGGCCCACCATTCCACGAACTGTCCTCGAATAGCCTTGGGTTCTACGAATGTCCCACGCCTTCCATGACGTTAGTAGAATAGGTTTTTGCAAAACCCTTTCTGTGCACTACCCTTCCGTTTGCCTCTGAGTTTAGGGGAGCCATCATGATCTCCCCACCCCAAATTTACCAATATTTACCACTGCTCCCACCCCAACCTTCACGCGATTCTCGAAGGCATGCGCCTGGGCTGGCTGGGCGACAAGCCGTCATTCCGCGCGTGACGTACGTACGTGCCGCGTCCAAGCCACGCGTGATGTGGCGTTGCTCGCGGCGCGACGCGATGCTCACGCGTTCGACGCGTTCGACGTTCGACCAAGCCACAGGGCTGTTGCTGGCCCCCAGCATCAGCGCCAGCAGCGACCGGCGAGGTGGACTGAGCCAAAGCCTGACCCCAAGATGGACTGGCATAGCGAGCTAGACATTGGGATACATTGGGGTCATTTGACCTGGGGTCAACCAGGAATGTGTACGGAGCATACATGGCCATTCCACGTACAACGGGTTGACTGGTTGACCTAGGACCTAGGTGCATATGTCCCAAACAGGTTGTCTGAGCGGCAGGCTCGACCAGTCAAGTTTAGGTCTTCGACAGTTTCAAGAAATCTTCGACCAATCAAACCGATCTGAAGATGACCATGATATACCACGATGATCATGCCCACTGTCAACCCGATCCACTTATTTATTTATGATGACCATGCCACTTTCGCACTGTGAACCATACCCAAATCAAAGTGTCAACCTTTGCACTTCGAATAATAGTTCACTTTGTGTCACCACAAGAGTTGGGAGAAGGGTCACCATGCGGTGCAGAAAAGTGAAGGCTAAATGGAGGGTGTGTGGAGAAAGGGGGTCAGCAAAAATCGCTCATACGAAGTTAGTGCATCAAAAATACCTTCCACAAAGTTCTGCGAAGGTTTCTGGGATTTCGTTGCAGTCAGATCTCCTACTGGCCCACCATTCCACGAACTGTCCACGAATAGCCTTGGGTTCTACGAATGTCCCGCGCCTTCCACGATGTTAGTAGAACAGGTTTTTGCAAAACCCTTTCTGTGCACTACCCTTCCGTTTGCCTCTGAAAAAGGAAAAAGGGTCTGCCCGAGTCTGCCACAGGGTGACCCTGGGGCAATAATTCCAGACCAAGCGAATGGATGGGTCAGAAATTGCGCATCTAACTCTTCCAGACTTTTTCAAGTCCAATTTGTTTGGTCTACTTGGACACCCTGTAGCTGGCCCCTTTTTCCCCACTGACTTCGAGCACCGCGTTGATCCGTACACAGACCATCGACACCCAAACCCCAAAACCGAGACCTGTGCCGGGGTGCCTGGTGTGGTCCACGCGAACAGCACCCCAGAGGGGGTAGCAGGAGTCGTGACTGGTCCGACCACCCTGGTAGCGCCTGGTAGTCTGAAGGCCACACATGAGGCTCAGCAAAAGCATCCATCTGCCCCTGCAGCACGGAAAGGATATAGAAATATATAGAAAACATATAGGGAGACCATGGGACACCGCTCATATAGGGTTTGGGGCCTGGGGGGTAGGTACATCCATTGGGTCCAGTAGAGGCTGCTGGTCATGTTCTGAGATCAAGTCCTGGATGATCCTAGAATGCCAGTCCAAAAACCAACGAGGGATGAGACCAGTATCTCTGAGAGTCTACCCTGCACACCTCCAAGCAGGACCTGCCTTTGTTTGGCTTCATGTCGCAATGTTCTAGCCTTCTCTGAAGATTTCATATAAGGGCCACAGCAGTGCTATGAATCTGTATAAGATTATACGCATTTCACTAGTCTAGTCATATATACATTGATGAGATGTAGAAGTACTACTGTAATCCCCAAACTCGAACATCGCACGGTGTCTGAAACCGTCTCCGACCGTCTCCGACTGTCTGCCTCAACCCACGCATCCGCCCAGCACCAGCAGTCGCAGGTCGTTTGTGGCTTGCCTGGCCGGGGTTGGATGATGCATGGTTAGACAAGCAGCATCTTAGTCAGTTTGAGCGTGGTAAAGTTGACAGGTGCAAGGTTGACAACCGAACACTGGTTGTGCAACATGCCTGACGAACAATCTCAGCTCCATTGCTTGGATTCTTGTGGAGTAGGAGTGGATGATAATGGCTAGTGCGGTCAGTTGAGAACTTGTCTTTGTTCCGAACATTTCACTGACACTTCTTGCGAATAGGACAGATCCAATCCCTTGCAGTGGTATGCCTATCACCTACCACCAACCAGAAGTGAACGTTCTGGGTAAAGGCTACAAGTCTATGCGAACTCAGAACCCCACAAACGGTTGGAGGCCATCACTAGTAGCTTGGAGGCCATCGCTTCTAGGTTGAAGGCCATCACTAGTCACATTCCAAGGTCTTCAATTGCCAAGGTCTTCGAGCACTAGTTTCGCCGTGGAGACGGGGAGTGGGCCATCGTCGATCCTCCCATACGGATGCCCGCATGATCCCTGCCTCCATGGCCATGTCTGCAGGAATTGCTGTGGTGTTCTGTCACAATTGACTTTTTACATGGTTCAAACAATCGAAATGCTTTGCACCAGTGAATGGGCGCTCAGTTCTTTGTGGCAAGGTCTGCCCATCACCATGCAGGTGTGTTACACTGTGAGTGACCGCAGTTTTTTCGGGTCATGGGTCCACCGACCTCAGCGTAATCACCTATTGATTCTGTATAAGATCTTCATATCTTGATTGTAATGCTGCCCATGCATGGTCTTGCCAATGTAATTGAGAGTGAAACCGACCATAACATATAATGGTTTGCCGGTTCGTTACATTCCTGGTGCCTCCGCCAAGACCCAGCACCGCGGCGAAGCGAGCAACTCGAAACGCACCACCTTATAAGTGGCACAAACTTCGTACAAACCATTCAAGAAAAAGATAGAGAGAGAGAGAGACAGAGGCAAACATCATTCGTTCCAAAGAGTTTGACCAGCAATAGTGATACTAAACAAAGCAATAGCTCCTAGACTAATCATATATATATATTTTATAATATAATATCATATAATATCACTACTTCTGGCATAGAGTCGAGTCTTGTTTATGTGTGGACCAATGGGAGCAAGCATGGTCCAAAATGGTCGGCTGGCGTCTGGTCGGCCAGTCCCTCCTCCCATCAAAATACATCATGTGCAAAATGTGTTTAAAATATTTTAAGATGTCATGTCGTGTGCAATTCTGACATCCCGATCCGAGTAGAGAGAAATTGAAATGCAGTTCACATCGTTTCACCTACTGATCTTGGAAACGTGCTTCTTTTTGGCTAAGTGCTTCAGTCGTATACGTCACCGCCATCCGCGAGCCTCCCTTTTTGTTTCGATCTCTTCGATCTATTTTCCCCAGCCGCCCTTCATGCCAAACGCCTGCGAGCTCGGATCTTGTTCGTTCACACACCGCGGTTGGTGAAGACGACGGGACGGGACGGGTCGGGAAGACTGGATGGACCACCTGGTCGGGAAGGCTGAAGGCGACAGCACCCAGCTGGGTGCTGTTGGAATTGGGTCCTGGCTGTTCCTGATTCCCATCCGACCACGTGAGCGAGCCGGGACACTCACGAAACACATTGTGGGACACTCACGAAACAGGAGCCTTCGCCCGCCACACCTGCAAAGACATGTGGGACACTCCATGTCAGTCCCCTTTCTTGGGTGTGTCTTCGTTTCAACATGATTGAACTTCAACATGCAGAACGCAGATTCCCTAGCGATCCAAGGACCTTCTCAGGTTTGGGTACGACTGGACCCTCCTGGCACCTACATCACGTGTCTCCAATCACCTTCTCAAAGGGTGTGTGGGTCCCTATAGGGATTACTAGCTTGAAACATCGAGATCTTGGATGCCCCGGAACCCCCACGCTCCAACCAACCCGCGATCGGTTTCTCGCGGCCTGGCCGGGCATTCCCTTGCCCTGCATGGGCGGACCTGGGGGGGGCATTCCATTGAGCAAAGGATGGGTTCGGGGGTGAGCTCACTCTGCCCCGAAAGTCTGGAAGGACCCAGAATCCGAAGACCCAGAATCGAGGTGCTGAACTCCACTTCCTCCGGACCCTCCAATGGAAGGGCTGACAAAAAGGGTTCCGAAGAAAACGCTGTCCAAAAAGGTCCGTCCCTCTGCTATGGAGGCTCTAAGGATTGTTTGACTAGTAGAACTTGGGAAGTAGGACTTTTCAAGTGGGGCATCCAATTAAATACCTCTTAGGCATGATAGACCCTGGGCTCCAAAGACCTTCGTTTCGAAGGTGGGACTGGGGTGGGTGCCATGAGGGTCTCAATCAATACCTTCTGAGGTGGCTGGAGAGGCGGAATCTATGCCAGCTGGAGGCCACATGATCCCTTTCAACACAGCTTCTTTTGTTTTGGGGTACGCGGGAATAGAGAGGATGAAATGGATCAAGCATGCCATAACTATAGTCAGTCGTAGTCTTAGCTGTTTCGTGCTCACTGCCCATGAATCCCATGGCTTTACAGCGAGACCCTCGCAACTTCTCGCCCACCACGGCTGTAACTTCCTGCCACACGGCTGTCACTCAAGTTTTTTGGGTCGTCCCAGTCCCGGAAAGCGCTTTCCGAGCATGGCAGGTGCGAGATCGATCTGATGGAACTGTGTTCCATCATGTTCCCTCGCCCAGAACAACAAATGATCTGGTGTGGCAGATCCCAAGATATTCGGCAGGCAAAGTGATGTTGAACAAAAACATATTTATTTTCCATATAGTTTGCATGTTAAACTCCCGGAAATCAAACATGTGATAATGTTTGCTAGCTTGGCCTTCTTAACAGTTCTTGTATACTGTTACTGGAGAGTAAGTATCGTTCCACCCTAGTTTGGTGGTGAATACTTTGCGATGGCTTAACCCACTCCTAGGACTAGCTGGGAATCCTGCAAGAACATGCCAAACATCCTGGGACCTGTCCAGTCTGGTTTCAGCCAGTGTAGTCTCGGGCAGTTCGTCTGGCACCACTAGGGTGGGTGAGGTGCGGGCATGGCCGACCCCGCCTGGTCGAAGCTCCATTCTGCAAGGCTGCTTGGTCGAACGCCAAACAAGAAAGCACTAAAGGCTTCCAACATCTTCCAACCCTCTGTGTTCTTCAGGCTGCTTCAGGCGGGTTCGGCATCAGTTCATCCAGTCACTCCACAGTGCCAAGTCCTTTTCTGATCATTCTTAATTGCCGTACACAAACACTCCATGATATATGGAATACGTATATAGTTACTATATATAATCTATAATATTACATGACATCATACTTCTGCCCGATTTACGACCCTAATCTTAGGTAACAGTTCCAGTCCCCCATGGATGGTCTGGGTTTAGATCTTCTTTCGTCACTTGCTTCTTTGAGGCTGTTGACCCTCGTCACTCAGCGAAGCTAGTGGCCTGCCAGGCTGCGAATCCAGCCTCGGTGACGAGTCTGGTCGAGGTGACCGATCCACTTAAGTTCAGATGTGAAGAGATCGATCGGTAAGGGAATTGAATTGAAGGATCACTCACAACAACGAAGCATCTATGTGATTGTCTGGTTGGATCTGAGAGTGAGCGATTTCTACAATGAATCACCACCCTCCTGTCTTCTCTATTCTTCACTTCGCCCCGCAAAGCTCCTCCTCCAAACAACTATCAACTCAGCTTCTGCTAACTCCCCAACCACCTAAGCTTCACCGAGCGTCCACTTGTGCAGCCAGACCGGCCAACAAAAGCCGGGAAGGTGCCAAGAAGGTCAGCGCCTTGGTCGTCAGTTGGGGATGTCTGACACAGAATGGATTGATTTGGAATTCATATTTTATAGTTGTCCTTAATCCAACAACCGCACCTTGGAATTTGTCCCACAAGTCATGAGAACGGCTCTGATAGATGTTTCCGCCGCTTCTCGCGCGTACGTTCTCTCGAATAGCACACAACATATAGTTGTTATAACAAGAAAACGTTCCAAGACCCTTGACCACCACTCTGTAGGATGCATTGTCGCAAAATGTGTTTCTGGATGGCTGGTGCTGGTGCTGGCTCTGGATGGCTGGTGATGGCTGGTGCTGGTGATGGCTAAATTTGAAGGTCCCCAGCAGCCCAGCGCCCACCGAAAAGGCGGAAGCCAAGACACCGCCAAGCCGCAGCTGGCCGCCACGTTGATGCCGCACACGCCCTTCAAGACCCGCTCGTGCCCCAGGCGAGCCTAGAGCCGGGCCAAACTGGAGGTGGAAAGAACTTGGGCCATCTGGGAGCTGTGGAGGGGATCCTGACTCCCAAGCCGTCAATGGAAGTACGACAAGTTCTGAACTGAACGACTCCACTAAGGTACGATGACGCGCCGAACCGGGTTGTAGTGGTACCGATCGTACGGTCGCCCTGAGACGACTCGGTACGACCGGATCCCGATCCCTCCAGTCGTACCTCCTCAGGTCGACCCTCCTGGCACCCACCCCAGTGTCACCTTCGAAACGAAGGCCCTAGAGTACGCCTCGCCTTATCCTAGGGCTCCAGTCGTACCTCCCCAGGTATTTGGACCCTCTAAACCCACCCAGTCCCACGTTCAAAACGAAGGTCCGACTGGAGCCCTAGGCTTAGGGTCTAAACGTCTATAACCCACCGGCGTCATCGGGTCAGCGCTTCACCGAGCTGTGTCGCCTTGAGCGGCTCGTGCAGCAGCAGCGTGCCCCAAAGCGTGGTGAGCACTCCGAGCGGCCCTGGGCGGGGCGGCTCCCACGCCGAGGCCCGAGGCTTCCGGTTTTGCGGGTTGAAGGCAGCTCCTATAGGTACCGAAGAAGGGTTCCGGGATGTGCTTGAACATGCCTGAACACGAGGCGCGACCGAATTCAACTAGGATGTCTTTGAACATGAGGTCACCCATTCAATCATTCATGAGCTCATGGGATCTCACGGGTGCATGGGCCCCAAAAAAGTGGCCGGACTCCGGACCCTTGTTTTTGGGGTCCGGACCAGTGTTGACGTCCAAGCTGCGCAAGGCCTGCGATGGAATCGGCCAGAGGTGCTTTTCCAGGATCGGAGGCTTCAGAATCAGCAAAGGGCCTGGCGGTGAGCCCAAGCCAATAGGCCCGGTGTTCGAGGGTTGAAGAGGTGAAAAGGTGATTTAAACTTTGATGAACAATACTATATAGATCATACAGGATCATACTAGATCAAGGGGCAAGTGGTGGTATAAGGGGATCAACCATGCCCAAACAGGGTCTCGGGATACTAGTAGGAAAAAGATCCGCAAGCTCCGGAGAAACAACAGACCCAACGGTTGACCCCATGGAGGTGACACGCTGGAAATGGAGGTGACACGCTGGGCCTGAATTTTGGGCACTCGATGAAACATGTGGAAACCAAGCAAATCATCCAAAGAGCAGGGGTGTCTGACTGATGCGCTTGCCAAATGATGGACAGCTTTCAGCTGAGGGTCTAGCATGCAATTCTTCACATTCACATCCTCATTCTAAAGCTTGAATTCTTCACATCAAGTGAAGACCTTGGAAAGTGAAGGCTTCCCAAATTCAAGGCCTTGTCGTTTATATGCTCTGAACTCCGATTCTGACTCCCTCAGTTCTCCCGAAAGAAAAAAGGTGAACCTTTTCCCATCTGTTCATATGTAGTGAGGAAACCAATCCCTCAAAGGGGTTTGCAGGTTGTCCACTCACTTGGTAGGCCATCAGATTGCTGACTTCATCCCTGCCTAGTGTGGCGCACCAGTAGCCATCGGCCACCAAAGCTCTTTCACCCGGAATCTCCATCGGGCTCGCGGTGACACTGGTGGCAACGCGGTGACACTGGTGGATGAGCCAATGTGTGGTCTGCTCCATTGGATGCTTCTGCCATGCCAACTATAAAAGTGTGGTAAACAGGGGAAAGTTCTGACTTCATGGTACTATCTTTGAGTTTTCGGTGTGAACGTTCTGACTTCATGGTACTGTCTTGGAGTTTTCGGTGTGAACTTGCCAAGGTGCAAATCCATGCATCTCCTGTGTGAAAACAGCCTCTCGGACCTTGGCTCAAGTTCCCAGCTGTCATCTTGGTACAAAAGGGTGTGAATGTCTACAGGGGGATCCCCTTTCTCGCCAGGGTATACACTGGTCTATGAATCCAAAACCGAACCCAGGGAAGGTCGGAATGCCTGGAAGGTCTCCTCCATTCTGGGAGGTCTCCCCAAATGAGTTGCTGTTTACCATGGACCGTGCTGGGCAACTCGCATTCATCTCGCTGACGACTCGAGTTCATCTCACTGTTTTGCTGTTCATCTGCGCATGGTCTTCGATACAGGAGATAAGCAGCGAGGACAACCACGCAACATGAATCGCCGTTCGGCACCTCACAAAGTTGTCATGTTCTTTATATCTCAATCCCATGTCAGGGGTCCCCAATGCCCATAGCCATAGCCAAATAAGTATGCATGAACTCCAAAACTGCTCACATCAGCCAAGACCAGGACTGGCTGTGGGTCCAGACCCGGGAGCCCGGAGACTCGCGGGGTAGGTTTCTCCCTCCCGGGTAGTCTATGTAATATTTAGCACGGTCAACCCGTCGGTCCTCCAGCTTTCAGCCATAGCCAGTTGGCATGAGGAAACACCGAATACGCTGGAAGAACATCACTGAGGCACCCGAACAGCGCATGAATTGCGAAGCACCTGGCGGTTTTTTTCAAGCCAGGTGAACACAAACCAAACGCACTCCTTCAACAGCAATTTTGTCCAGATGTTTGGATCAACCATGGAAGTGGGAAAACCACCTATTGAACATGGTCACCCAAGGGCCATCTTCCACTTCTGATTTTTATTTTTATTTCGGAGAGAGTAGAGATTTGTCTTGCCAATCTTTTTGGTCTCATGCACAACTAAGACTTCTGATTGTCCGCTTTTGTTTCCTGGCAGGGTGCTAGAATTCATCTGCCCCCTAAAGTTCCCCATATTCCCCCCTTGTTCACTCTCATCCAGCAACACCCATCTATATATCCTGGTGTGCTAAGATGTTGTCATGACGCCCACAAAAAGAAAACACTCCCAGTTATAGTTATAAACTAATACAACCACTTCGGTGCTTGCTGAATCTTGGTCATGGTGAGGCCCAAGTTTCGCCATTTCTCGGTCACGTTCTGCCCGAAATCTCGGTCACACTCCATGTTTATCTATATATTATATACATTGGGTGGTTGACTTCAGGGTGACTGTGTCTAAATCTGCCAGTCCCAGTCCCAAGTCGTGTCTCTGAACGGAAAACAACAACGACAACAGGGACAGCAACCACAACCACAACAACCACAACCACAAAAACAAAACACACACACTAAAAAATAGAATTAAAAGCAACAACAACAACAACAACAGCAACAACAACAACAACAACACACCCCAAAAATACAGCGCTCCGTCTTCCACCTCTTCGTCGTCCCTGCCCGTGGTCCGGCCCGCCGACCCGTTGGACGGCCGCGCCGCGCGCCGCGCCTGTCGGTTGCAGGTCGAAGGCCTGAGGCTTCATGTCCTCGCGAAGCCGAGCACGGAATCGTCTCGGCTGTGCAGTAAGGGTCAGGGCGCATCGGCTGTGTACCGGCCGGTCGCAGGGACTCTAAAAAGAGGGAAAACACGAGCAATGTAAGGTGCCGTACCTTTTTTGTCACGTATACTTATAGTCACGTATAAATACTTAGTCGTATGTGTTTGCTTTTGGGGGGGCTGGTTTGGGGGGTTGCATCTATGAGCCTGTACATGATGAATAGTGATAAATCATCCATCGGAGGTTCTGATACATCCAATTTGTCGCGAAAGATCAATCGCAACACTTCTCACACTGTTCCGGTTCAAACAGATCCTATGTTCTGCGCTAGTTTGTGGCAGAACAATTTCTCCTGACTCAGGGATTCCACTGACAGGCTTGACAAAACCCAGCCTCAAGTGCCCATGACAGTGGTAGCTTGCTTGATAGAATCTGCTGTGATTGAAGTTGCAAGACACTATGTAATATACGTAATATAGCCATTGGTAATCCCCTTCTATACTTGGCTTCTATGGCTTTACAACCAAACCTTTGCGAAAGCGCTTGCGTGGTTCAGAACAAAAAAACATCCTCACCAAAAGAAGATTCGCAAATGCGCGAAAACATCACCCTCACCAAAGCAAAGATTAAGGTCTACGAACCCCTCAATTAACGGCCTGAAGGGTTTAGCGAGGAATCATTTCATCTCCAAAAGAATCATGGTGGTCGCATGTTTGGGTCGTAAGCAATTCTCTGGTACAAATGTCAACATGCTTCTTTGCCAATATACCCGCCTTCAACATCTGTATCAGAACGATTGTACCTTCAGTATATGTCAAGTATGCTGTTCTTGATCCCACCTGGTACATGTGGGACATCTTTAACCTATATGCTTCCTACCTGTTGCCACCATGAGTGACAATTCTAAAAGCCTCCTCAACAAGCAGGAGGCCTTTCAAGCACAAGTTGCTAGGAGTGAACATGCTCCCGGTACCATGTGCATTCTGCCAGGTGATGGCACTCTTTCTGTCGTCCACGAAAGGTGGCCCCGGCGGCTTCAAAGGTTCGATGGCACGCCGCTGGGGGTCCCCAAGATGTCTTGAAAACATGGGGGTCCACTGGGTCCACTTCTAAAGCACAAAATCTTGGGGGAAAGTGCTGCAAGACCTGAAACCACTTCTAAACCAAATCTTGTGGAAATCTGGTCTTCTAGATTCTACACCACTTCTAAACCAAATCTTGAGAAAATCTTGTCTTCTAAATCACTTCCAAACCTCAAGCCACGTTTCGCATCACATGTTTACTGTCCTTGCTCAGCAAGATGGCAAAATTCACTTCAGTGCCAATGGGAAAGGCTCCCACCTCGGGCGACGGCAGCACTCAGAGAAGAGGAGGGTCCTTGGCAGTGGGTTCAGAGTAGATGGCACAAGTTACCCCAAGTTTGGTGGTTTATATGAACCCCCATCTGAAAGAGGTGTACGGGTTTGTGCTATCTATATACTCTGAAACAACTGTCTACACATTCATGATATGTATAAAATTGTTTTTTTTCCGCATCATATTTGGGTTCTATCTTGTGAAACGTTGAAGACAAACAATTCAATTAAACCCATCATCATCTCCTTTATTATTCTTAGACTTCGGAAGGTTTCTTCAGGTCTCCTCGAGGTCCTCAAAAGAACGCCCCCAAGCGGCAGTGCTGCTGCCTTTTTGCGCCCCGGTTGGCCCGCCAGGCGAGTGTCATCTTCTGGCCATGAGAAAAAACAACTGAACAACAAACAACTCAACCTTCCTGGACCTTCAAGGGGTGTCCAGGCTGGAGGTCCCTTAGTAGTGTAGGGGCTTCCAGCCAGGTGACCCCTTTGAGGGTGCTGGTTTTGGCATCAATCGGTTGAGGCAAACAGTTCGAACAAACGCGAACCTAAACAACAAGATTCTTTTTGCCCCCTGAAACCTGCTGAGCCGACCCAGCTGCGTTCTATCTTTCTGAAATCACTCTTTCAGTTTCGGACAATGACAGGTTAGGGGCCCCCACTTGTTTCCACCCAAATGGTTCTGCAAATTCCGCTTCTCGGGGGTAGACATCTGACGGATCCCTCCACGGTGGCGCCTGGTTCTTGTGCACATACACATCATGGCCGAAGACCGCCTGTCTCTGTCTTTTCCGTCTAGGTATTGGAAGGCAGGAAGGTGGCTAGTTGCTAGTTGAGGTTATGGCCATTCAGTCATCTCCCCAGGAATCCTCCAAAAGGTTACCCCACCCTGGGTGCATGCAGTGCATGCACAAGAGGTTATGACCATTCCCGATTCCCGCACACCAAGTATTTTCAGGCATGGGGCCCTTGACGTCCAAAGATCTTATGTTGCTCTTCGCCATCTCAGTCAGATATGAATAGAATGTGGAACCTTGACCCCCAAGAGTTTCTGGTTGAATATCCTGAACTACTTGGATATATTTGGACCCGCACCTACCACACTCTTGCTGAAATCAAATATACACTAATTTACATGAAAAGTACTCAAAAATACTCAAACCACATGCTTTAGACGGTGACACCATCAAAAAACACACACACACAATTGGTATGGTAGATCGTATTCCTTTCTGGGGAGTTTGAAACTTGCCCAGTAGCCATTTTGGCTCAAGCCATTTTGTCTCAAGGGCCTGCCTGACATTTGTGCTCTAGTTGAGCTAGCTCGGCGCGGGGTCCTTTTGCTGTGCATCTCGTCGCCATGTTTGAGCTGGTTCATTGTGGATTGGGACGACCGCCTGGTTGGATGGTTGCCTTGGCTGTATATTGCACTGGGTGGAGCCTGGTGTTTCCTGAGGTTACCTTTGATGTATTAAACTCGCGATTAACCTGGAATCCATGGTCTATTCTCCGAACCTTCCAGGGGGTCGTTGCCTGGGAGGTCTAGGTAATTTGGTACACACACATGTTGCCTAGCAAATTTCACGCCTTAACAGTTGTGCAATCTACCAGATGCCCTCTCTTGGCAGCCCCATTCCACTTGAAACATCTTGAACACATTATAATTAGTTTTGATGCAGTTTGATGCTTCATTCCAAACGAACACGTCTTCACACAGTTGGAGTAGTCGATGGTCATACTTTGAAGTCATTCATTCAACGGTCAAAACTAAGATCATCTAAGATCTGTCAATTGACGATCAATCATGCCCAAAGGCTCATTGGACTCTCATAGCTAAGGTTTTGACCCTCACAACTACAGTAAGGGTTTTGGACCTCAAACCTGTAGCAGTTGGTTCGGGTCCCGGGTCGCCTCTGGGTGGATCAAAATACATCAAAATACACGACTCGAACGACTCTCATGCGGCACCGCCCCGGTCCGCACGTGGCGATGGTGCCCTCGGACGTCCACCCGCCTTCAGCTCCGGACAGTCGATGAAGCCCACGCCGGTGGCGCCTGTGACCTGCTTGATGCGCCCCGTCCTCGGCGGGCGGGCGCCGGTGTTCGGATCGGGCGAAGAAGCGCGGAGAAGGATCCTTAAGGGTTTTAGGCGTCAAAGAGGCAGGGTTTGGGTGGGTGGTGAAGGTGATCAAACGGGGGAGGATGGCAGGTTGGAAGTTGAAGATGGTTGGGGAGATTTCAGTAGATGTCCAAGAATCAGAAGAATATTACTAAGTGATGGTGAAGTCTTTCAAACCCAAACAAAGACAACTACATGGTACAAGTGCTTGACCATCCTGTTATCATCCGTCTGATCCACGTCTTTTTGGGGCGATTCCCGTCTGTCCACGTCTTCGCGGATTGGGTCCGGCCGAAGCGGCTTCCTCTCCGTTTCGGACGTCGCGTTTCGCTGGGACGGTCGCGAAGCCCTGGGGAAGCGAAAGCAGACCTCAACGGCCAGGAGCACCAGCCACAGCTTGGGGTCTCTGTAGGACCGGTCTCCCGCGAAGGTCCGACCGGGAAGGTTCTAGTACTGGTCGACCGGGTGGCCCCCAGTCGCGCGGGCCGAGGCCCCTGCGCGCGGCGCTTGGTCAAGGAGTCCGCCGGGGCATAGGTGAGGTCCTGAGAACCGTTCAAGCACCAGGACCTTCCAAGTTCGGTGCTTCTTGGACACCCCTTAACCACTAAGAGGCTCTTTATGGACTCAGAAGGGAGGTCCTGGCACTTGGAAGTGAACTGGGTGTTGTAAGCCTACTCACCATGACCGTGGAAGTAGATATTTATATCTAGCAGGCCGTCATATCTAGGAGTGTGCATAGTCTTTTTTCTAATCTCGTTTTTACCCTGACTGATCAGCAAATCAGCTAAACCGATCATTGCTTGATTGACCTTATGCTACAAACGTGAATGCTTTCTTTGGGGGAAATACAACACATAGAAAGTCAATCAAACAAAGGTTACGGCTATGGTTCATGCCACCAATCTAAAAGATTCTAAAAGCATGTAGACGCCACTTTTCTGTGTACCACCCTCCCCTTTCGACTCGGTGGGACTGGGCCATGAGATTCCTTTCTTGGGCAGCTCAACCAGCCCGTGCTCGACCTGCTCAGAAATTCAAAACATTCACCAAACCGCATCCCCACTGGGAGTAAGACCTCTCTTCCACTCGCAGGGGTTGCCTCCTCTCCCGCTCGCCCCTTTGTACTTCGGCGCCGAGGACGGCGCCGGCACCGCGCCGTTGACGACGCCGGGCGCCAGCTCGGGTCCTGAGGGGCGGCAGCGTGCCATGAGTTGGATGGCTTCGTCAGACGGTGGTTCTCCACGACGACGAACGTGACGACGACGACGAACGAACGTGGTTTAACACGCCATTGGGAGGCATTCACCCGGAAAAAGCCGACATGGTGTGCCTTGAAGGGGGAGTCAACCCAGCGACCCTTTTGACACAAGATCGGCCTAGGCAAATCGGTGACATCTCGTTGAAACAAATCCGAAAAGCGATGAGTCATGATGTCCATACCAGGACCCCCAAGGGGTGCTTATAACTGCTTAAATGGGGGCTCCTGGTACAGTCGCACCAAATCCAGCTAAAAAGATTCAAGAATTCAATCCTTCATGAAAGATACGTAGGCATCCTGCGGTCAAGATCAGGCCCTCCGAGCCCTTTCAAGTCAACAACTTGGCAAGTCTTGGGCCAGTTAAGTCGTTAAGTCAACTCAAGTGATTCCCATTCCGAGGACTGAGAGTTCTGCAGAACCAGCCCCCAAAAGTGGCCCAAAAGTGCCCCTCCAAAACACGCTGCGGAACAAGAAAACACGGCGCCAGTGAAGACGATCCCTAATTCATGTTGCTTCATCCCTAAAGCTGAATGACTAAATGTATTCTTCTTGCTGCCATGTTCTGTCCGGCAAAAAAAACAACAGCTCTGCACCCGAGGCTCTTCTTTGAAGCGTTTCCGTGATGACCTGGAGTTTGGATAAGGCGACCAGCGAGGACACGGATGCGGACGTCTCCGGACAGTTGGAGGACCACCAAGCTGGTAGCAACTTCCAAGCTGTGGATATTGTTAGGTCCTCTGAAGAACCAATGGCTTCATGCTTTGGTTCGGCAGAAATCTTCTTTGCTGCATGTCATCAACAAGACATTGTATTTATAGCAATGTACAATTTCATATATATATATATTAATATATATATATATAACTATAGTGTATAGTAATAATACGTGCTGTTGGAGGTTTCAATGCATCTTTCTCAAATGCTCGTCTAGCCAAGTCGATCCAGTTCTCAACCAAACAAACACCGAAGTCCGGGGTGCCAGGTGTGGGACAAGGTTCACAATCGGATCCAGGGAATCCATGTGGGGTGACCCTCCAAATAACTTTTGGTTCAAACAACCTCAACATGCCATGCTTTAGGGTTGAGTGGCTCAAGTGTCTTTTGTTGGTCACATCCACCCCATTTCATGCAGGTTTTGATGTGCTTTTATGTATGAATGTCTACTGTCTATAGTTTTAATATGTGTTAAATCATTTTCTATGGGGCCATCAGGTCCCATACACTCCATACGACTGGAATCGGACTGCCGCCCCAGACACACACCCCTGGCACCACCACCCCGACGGCCGTGCCACTCGGCAGTCCGTGCCACTCGTCCGCGCCGCGTCCGCGCCGCAGCGGGACGATGCGTCCAAGGCACTGTGAGCAGCGTGGCATCGTCCAAGGCCGCCAGGGCCTGTAGCATGGCCCTGGACGTGGCGGATGGATGGCGCGAGCGGATGGAGGGGATGGACGTGGAACCGAAGAACTACCTCAAACAATGGCATATGGACCCGAACCAAAGGTACTTGCGAGGTACGAACTGAGACTCCTGGGACACCAAAGGAAGCCGTTCCAAAAGCCGGACAAAAAGAATGTAGTTGCTGCAGTATCAGGTGGTGTTCTTCCCAGTAGCTGCTGGAAGACTGAGTAGCCACAACGTGTTGAATGCAACACCACAAAAAAGTGGTTTTGGTCATGTGCCCAAAAGGTGCTCAGGTTAACTCAATTCAACTCAAGACCTGCACTTGAGACTTGAATAATCACGGCCTGACACATCCTTACACACGAAACACGTATACCGTATACACACCCATGTTTAGCCTGACAGGTCTAGGTCTACCTTTGTTGGTGTCAAGCTGTTTGATCCTCACAAACCCTGCAAGCCGCGCCAGTCCACTGTGGCCCCGCACTGTGTGTCCATGGCCCAACCTCAGCCAAGCGTGCAACATGCAAAATGTCCGTCTTTCATCCATAGAACAAGCCAAAAGGATCCAAAAGGCAAACATGTTGCGTTATGTTGCGTTGGAAGATCTGTGTCGTATAACCACATGCACCACATGCAGCACTCCTTTCTGACTTCAAGCTCTCAAGTCCGAGATAACATGATCCCCCCAGAAACATGATCGTCCTTCAGGAAGGGCAGTGGAATGTCTGCGAGTGAGTTCAGGAAGGTAGGTTTGGACATACGGTTACATCACAGAACACCCCCGACACCAAGAAGATGATGATGTTTTATTTTTTGAGGGCGCTTTTGTCGTCTGCCCAGTTCTGGGTCGATTCGGTGCCTTTCTCTTGGGTTTGGACTCGGCCGCTATTAATTGGAGTCGCCCTAGCAAGCCACTTGGAGGACCGAGGGATACCGAGGGTCCAAATACCTTCTGAGGTACGTGGAGGTGTAGTGACCTCGGGCCGACACCGGCCATCGCCCACCGGTGCTGGGAGCCTCCGCCCAGCAACGACCGCGACGCCCAGGTCGAGGCAGTCGGAAGGCGGGAGATGGTCCACGGTCTCACGGTGGTGGGGCCTGCGGGGGGCCCCACCTGATCATCTTGACAGCTACGGGCAGGCGGCGAGTCACAGTCTTACAGATTCCACACCCTGGCCATGTGAGTGCAAACGGTGAAAAACTTTCTACCAAACCTTGGCCATGCTGTCTCTGATCAAGCCAGCGACAAGGAAAACCCATCAAGCAGGCTTGATATGATATGTTGGTCGTGTTGCGTGGGGAAATGCACGCATCTGTCTACGCACAAGAACATAACGCACGAAACAAAGCCTGTCAATTCAAACAACTGTCAACTGGCCTTGCATTTCTCGAGGGAAATAGTTTGTCTGAACACGACCGAACCAAAAAGCCATAGAGCCTCTATCTGCTTCCAAATGGGCAACCCTACAGGTCTCCATTGGACACCCATTGGAAGTGCTAGGATATGAGCCTTCTTTGGTGCTGCATGCACTTCACAGAACCTGCTCCGCCTGCACCCTCGACACTTTTTCGGGACACTGAAGTACACCGTTGACGTTCTCAGGTTTTCGCTGTTGCGACAAGCAGGCTGCTACCTCCAGCGGCGAGAAGCTCCGAGGATCTTGGACGGACAATTTGAATGTTTCACGAAAAGTTGATCCTGAGGAACATACGGGACCCAAATTCATCCCAATTTGAACAAAAAATACCAACATACCGAAAGAAGAAAAAGCCAGCTCACTGCTTACCGAGCTTACCTATTTATGCTGCAAGTCTCGTCGCTCCTTGTGTGGCACAAGGATTGGTCAGTTCAGCACATGACACCACAATGAAAGAAACGTCGACACACACAGACTATCCACGGGACCGGAATAGGTACCTACATGGATGAGTCATTTTCTCGGGCCACCCCCCCAGACCCCCTACCTACTCACTTCGTTCGCCAAGCACAACTCAGCTGGCGCCTTCTACGAAGGCTGGCTTTCGTAATATGTCTATGTTTCTGAGGTTCAAGGACTGGAAGCTCCAATCTCCCAGTTCGTTTTCCAGTCTTCTGGGGGTTTTCCATTCTGAAGCACGACTTCTTGCTGGTGATGGAGTGACGACCCACCGCGGATTTTTCCACACCCATCTACCGGAATGTGACTGGTGATCTACTTTAAAAGCATATGAGCAGGAAGAATTCGGATTCAGCAACAGTCCGCCTCCAAAGAACTTTTCAGCTGCAGGCCCTCAGCGTTGAGACAATGACTACAGTGCAAGGTCTCCTGCAGCGACGTTCTCGGAAAGTTGTTCCAGGGAGGCTCAGCAAACATGAAGTACTGTGCGGAAGTGAAGAATTGGGCCACCAATTCAAAGAATTCGGAAAAGCTGAAGCAACAACTCTTACCAGCTTGGAACTAAGTAGGGGTCTAGCATGAAACCAAAAACTCTTACAAGGACCTAGGACCTAGCAGGATGATGCAAAATGCTTGGAACTCAAAACCCCACCATTCTTTTCATGGTCTTGGACTCCCAGAAGCACTTGCATCGCCTTGGAAGCACACCGTTCGCATTTGGAGGTCTGTCTGCTCTCAACGGGTCCTTGAAGACGTGGCACCCTTCGCAACTCTCCAGGTAGGGGCCCGGTGGAAGTCGCCGGCCATTGGGCACGCCTTGACAGGTCCTGCCGGTGCGACGGTCACACAACGGGCATTTCTACTTAGTCATCATAGTGGTTCTCAAATGTTGATTCTAGATCAACAAAAAAAGAGCTCCCAAGAGTGGACACATTGTGATCACACGTTCTGAGTCAACTAATCAACTATATGTCTATTACTATTACTGAGTCTGCCTCTACCACTACCACCAGTCTTTGGGTTTTCCTTCCAGTCAAACCCCCGCAGGGGAAGCCCGACGAGATATCAACGTCCAAGTGTCAACTTGCCCTCTCGATTGTGAAGCTCTGCAGGACTTTGGCATCGCGACACTTCATAGCTGCTGACCAAGCGCTGCCCATCCGACTTGGCGCATTCACCTTGGAGACCAAAGACCCCACAGAAGAAGGCGACCAACATCGTGACACCCCGGTCTTGAGATACCAGGTTGTTCATCGTTGTGCTTTGGACGCTGGGTTTTCAATCAGTAGTAAAAAGTAACTCTACTATAGGTCTCTAAGGTTCTCTATATGATTTGTCCACTTGAAACCAATAGTGACCCAGCTCTCCAGTATATGGCTGTCAAAACCTGGAGCCCCAAAGCAGGGTAGGTTGCCCTTCCAGGTAGGCCAAGGTCTGGTTCTGAGCCACAGCCATAGTCACAGCCTTGGGGATCTACATTGGGGATCTCCTGCCAGGGGCCCATCGATGCGCCCAGTGGAAGCCTGATCGGTTGCAGGCCCACATCCATCTCGATGATATCGGTTGCGCCCAATGGATCCAGATGGATGAGGCCCTAGGGCCCTAGAGAACATCCATCTCGACATGTTCTCGTGTTCTTCACATCCGCTCCCTGGCCTATCCCGGACGTCCCAGTGGCAGCTCAACACATCGTCCAGCTGCTGACCTGAAGCGGCTGAAGCGGCAGCGGCATCGGGTCGGTTTCCAGGGTCGATCGACGTCGGAAGGGCTAAGAGGAAAAAAGACACGGCAGCTGAGTGGTCAAATGCTCAAACCGAGATCGGCAGCATGTGGCAGGTCTCTCTTGCGCAATGTCAACCATGACATACTGGACAGCGGAATCACCAATGCCTTCCCTATAAATAAACCTACAGATTCAGGAACATGTATATAGATACTAATAATGCTCGATCGCTCCGAGTTCCGGATATAGAAGTCTTGATGGGGAAGAACACCACCAGAGCCGGAAAGCTCCCTGAGACCTTCATCGCAACAGCGGAAAGCTTAGACCACCCTTGCAGTCTAAGCTTAGACCCAAAATCCCCCGACACCTTCACATGGTCTAAACCCATTTTGTCGGGTCATCCACCGCCTCAACACCTCATCCCCCAGGGCAAGGCCCAGGGCGGCGATGATTTCATCCGCTTGGATCGGTCCAGGCCAAGGAACACTTGGAGCAACTTTGCTTGTAGGGTCCAGCCAGCGAGCCGCTACAAACAAGCTCTCCATCCTGGCAGACCCAGCGGACCCAGCATCCAAGAAAGAAAGAGTTGCCCCACAATCACTTGGATTCGTGATGATTGAACGTCAGCCTCCACTCACCAAAAATTGAACATCAACCTCTATATTCTCACCGACTCCCCCGAAACACCAGGGTCAGACGGTCTCGTAAGACCTTTCACAGCAACCCAGTCGTGCCCAGTGGCCAACTTGAAGGACTTCGACATTTGGAATATAGGTGAAAAGGAAGGACTTCCGCCGTTTCCTGGACCAAGAACATATAGGTTTCATACGTTTCCACCGCTTGTGACCAGTGCGTCTTCCCGGTGTTTCACTGGTTTTGTAGGTGATCCACGTACTTCCGCATAGGGGAAACCTATATCATATCCCACACTATATCCCACATGTTGTCGCAAACATAAAGTGAAGAGTCCACTGAGGAAGATGAGGCAGTGAAGTTCACCTGTGGTGTCCAACTACCAGGCCACATTCTGTTCGAATGGATCAAGTTTTAGCGGTTGTAAGTGCGAGGCTGGATCTAAAGACCAGTTGCGTCCACATCAGGTTCCCTTGCATGCTTCCCACTGCCTTCCCTGCAAAATGCTCAGCATGATTTCATGCAACAAATCGCCCATACCTCTTGGCTTGAATATGCTTGAATCAAACCACCATGGATCACTCCTATCCACCCATTCTCCTCCACCTCATTTCACCCCGAAGACCGCTCGGCGCCTGGTTTTCCAGCTGCGCCGGCCACCGGCAGCGCCCCGCAGCTGCCTCCGCCGCCACCTGTCGCCCGTCTGCCCGGCGGCACAAGGCACAGGAGACGTGTCCAGCCTCGGAGCGGCAGCCTTGACCTCGGACGTGCTCCTCCGAGCGCGAAGCGGCGCGAAGCGGCGCGAAGCGGGGGGAGACTGTTAGATGGCGATCTCTTGCTGGGAGACAATCTGTTCAATTGAGGTACAGTAAGCAAGTGAGGAACATCAGACTTGCTTCCAAGTGACAACAGACAGCCGTCCAGGATGGATGTATGGCCTAGTTGGAAGATCCAGGTATCTACATACCAAATAGTTTGGCATTTGGGAGTGAGGAACAGCATTTGTACATATTGGTACAATCAGCTTTATTGCGTCAATGTGACATGGTCACGCATCGTTTGACTCTGCTTCCCATCATCCCGTCGCCCAGTGGCAGGACTTCAGATATGGCCCAGGCGGGCAGGCGAGGTCGTTGGGGACCTGAGGAAAGGAAAACAACAAAACAAGTGATGGAAATAGGACCTGGCAGGTGGTAATACACTCCATATGGAACTGAAATGTGGACCTAGGCCAAGGTCATACACTGCATTATAGGGACTGGAATAGGTACATTCAACATTCCGGGATCGGCGAAGCGGGAGACAGCGAGGCTCGTATGGTCCATGACAGACGAGGCTTAGAATCGACCTCATAAGCTTTCTCTCGGCTCCCCGTGACCTCTGGGCTCCCTGTGACCTCTCGGCTCCCCTGTGACCTCTGGGCTCCCCTGGGCTCCCCTGTGACCTCTGGGCTCCCCTGGGCTCCCCGTGACCTCTGGGCTCC